TGAATATCAAATTTTTAAATTTACATTTAAGGGAATAATAATTTCTCTCTCATAATTCCCTTGTAGAGCTATTTATTTTGCTTTAAAATTCAGTTCCCTTTAAACATTTGTTTATATTATTTAACTTGCAATATCAAACTGTAAAATAGAATTTAGTCGTCGGTTGTTTAATCAACTCCACATGTCTATATTACGATACGTACACATACTATATTCAATTCCTTCATCAGGTTCATATTTTTAATTTCAGTTACAATTCAATCCAAGACTTGTACAAGGAATGAACTAGTATAAAGCATTAACCAATATTTTTTTCTATTATATACTGATCAATGGAAGTCTTATGACAACACGTCAGGGAGTGGGTTTAAAATTATAATGTTTACCTAAAAAGTAAGATGTATGCAGATTTGTATGATGGGCGTAATGAATCTAATTTCATTTACTTATCTTTAGTACCTGGATGACTGAGCTGGCCTTGGCTTTTTTTTTCTCACAAAGGAAGGAACTTGACATAAAGAGAAATAATAAAAAAAATCATGTAGGGTCGAACCGGGGTCGTTTGTCGGGTCCGCCCGATTTCCAAACCTTGCAGATGAGTAGAGGTGACGAAATTTATCTTCTTACGGTTATTAATATTTTAGCAGTTTTCATTGCCAGAAAACACGGTTAAAACGACGTTTCATCATCATCATCATTTCAGCCTGTTTGAGTCCACTGCTGAACATAGGCCTCCCCCATAGACTGCCACGAAGTACGATCCTGAGCCACCTGCATCCATCGACTTCCCGCACATTTGCACAGGTCGTCACTCCATCTAGTGGGGGGTCGTCCCACACTGCGATGGCCAGTACGAGGCTGCCATTCGAGAACCTTTCTTCCCCAACGGTTATCGGTTCTACGAGCTATATGGCCGGCCCATCGCCACTTCAGCTTGCTAATCCTCTGAGCTATGTCGGTCACCTTAGTTCTACTGCGGATGTTTTTTTGACGGATGCGGATGACGTTTACTAAAAATTAAACCTTATTAACCTTAAAATTACGGATGGACCGACCTACCTATACTATATCATATAGGTAGGTCGTTATCTATACCTATTTTATATTCAAAAAAATTTTTAGGAATTAAAAATTAAAAAGTAAAGTCCTATATGTCTCACTGCTGGGCAAACGCGTCCTCTGTGCAGAGGGTATTGAGGCATAATCCACTACTCGAACCCTTGGTAGTATGGCAGATTTCACAAGTCTTCAAAACATTTTTTACTGTTATTATTTCGAAAACATGCAGGTTTCCTCACCCTGTTTTCCTTCACTACTGAGTAGGTGATGAGTACAATAAGCAATTTCACTGATCAAGCCACAGGGATTTGCACTATCGCGACACGGACACTGAGCTATCGCGGTTTCTTTAATAATCTTTAAGAATTATCATAAAAGATTTTTTTATGTATAATATTTATTTTCACCATTTATATAAAACAAATGTCTTGTTAACAGGAATGGTAAACACAAAGTTAAAATTAGACGTGTATCAATTTTCTATTTTGTTTTAACTTTCCCGTTTTTTTTTTAGGTTCTAATAGATTTGTGCGTAGACGGTGCTACACTTAAAAATAAAATTCCAACATAGATATTAATCAATTTAAGCAATCATAATCTCGAGTTCTGAGCAACGAACCATTACGATAAATTATGTTTTTTTTAATTTCCCGCAAGGGCAAAGACAACCCACAGTTGTGAGAACCAGCCTCAATAGTTAATTTCACATTTCTGTCTCGAGATACTTTTCAGTAACGAGCTAACGTAGTCTCGTTGACAGTGCCTCGGAGTAAGGCGTTAAGCAAATCTGACCCCTATTGCTCTCAAAATAAACTCCACGCACCTTGTGTGTCACAGTTGAAATAAGATTTCCGAGGGTGTGGAAACCGTTGAATGCTAAATGTAGCTACACACGTCATTTAACTAGAACCAAAAAATTACATGTCCAAACACACTTACTTAGCATAATAAGTCGGTCTAATTAAAATAACTCGAGATCTTATGGTAGCGGTTGTGGAGTTATTTAAACGTTAAGAGGGTTTCGTATAATATTTGTAGAATTCTGAATTTTTGAAAATATAAACGAGTAATTACTTACATGTGGTATTTTAATTGATTGTAATTTCATATTTTTGATGCTGTGTTAGCAAAGTTATGTTTGGGTAAATGCTAAATGTTTTGGAACATACTTTTTGTATTTCACCATTGCTCCTTGCACCAGTGCCAGTAGCTGTGGCAGTGCCAGTGCCAGTGGATAGTTTGGTTAATTATACATGGTAGTGGAAAAAAATCACCGTACGGTATCATATCTCGCAGAAAAAAAATCATGCTGTATGTCCCAGAATGTACTAAAAAACATTACATTTGTTGCGAAAATTCAGACGAATATGAATTTACAATGCAAAACTAACACGTTTCATTCTAGAGTAAGACTTGTGTTATGCAATACATCTCGTATTGGCACGATACATTTCTCTATTTTGGCCCGAAACAGTGTGTTAAGTGTTGAAGTGTTATACTTCTGCGTTTCGTCTGTGTGTGAGTGAGATAGCTGGGGCCCACTTTATTATAAGATGGAATATGTCGAAATATTCCTACAGATTTTGTAAATGTCAATGGTCGGTGGTTATAAGTTAAAAAATAATATTCGATTTGCCTTCACATAAGCTACTGAACCCTAATAATGACAAAAGCAAAGACAATAGCGATTAAGCTGCACTCAAATATTTCCCGGGTGCCTTTTCTCATTGTAACGACGAGCCACTTCATAATTAGCGCTGTATATTAAACATAATGTGTAAAACGCGTTAATAAGGAAGTAATGTAAGCAAGATCGTTATAATAAAATAGAGATTTCTTTATGTGTATTACTAAGTGAGAGAGCGTCGTATTAATTGCCTCAGCGCAGCTGCTCGCTGGTATGAAATACAGCTAGCCACGCGGCAGGGGGCCTTAATTCGAGGCGTTTACACGAGCAATGTACAACTTGGTCCATTGTAAGGGATATTTAATAACATTACAACTATACGAGCAACTTTAATTCGCCTTATCTGATTCGTCACAGTGTCCATTAATTAATTTAACAATCTCTCTTTGTTTTATTACATTTTTTTGGATGGCTAGTAGGGTAGACTGCTGCGTTAATTTGTATTTTGTAAAGTCTGATCGATTCATGGAAGTTCAAACAAAGGTGGAGAAGACAAGTGAAAAAGTAATGTAACCGCAAAACATGTATGTGTAAAATTATTTCTTAAATTGCTTGACAATTTAATATGTGTATATATTTGGACTTGGTTGGATCCATCTTTATCTAGAAGACGTCAACTGTTGTCAAAGGCATGCCCCTTAGAAATCACGAATGTTTTATGCTACTTGATACTATGTTTTTTTAACATCATCACGATTTGTTCACTAAATTAATATTGTCAATCTGCTTCAGAAACTGGTATTCTTTGGTTCAGAAATATAAACCGAATTATAGTGTGGTAAAAAAAGTACAATATTTGACGCAGCCAAAAACTAGTCATTACGGCCCCGAACAGATGATAATTTTATTCTAGAATATTGTTTGCTTATCATATTCTTTTTGGGATTATTAAATTCATTTAAATACAAGGATAATGTTGTTATGGCGAAACTAATTAAATAACCTCGTTTGTATAACAGTTCGTGAATTGAAAAAGAAAAAAAAGGCAAAAAATCTTGTATAATAATTACAGTACAAAATCACTTTTATGACTTTGTGAATTTCGCAAAAAAACAACCGAATCCAAAATTATCATAATTATGCAATGATCAAAGCTCTTGTTTGTTTCGTTACTTTATTAGATACACATAGAATGTTTGCATTTGTCTATTTTACATGAAATATATAAAATTGTTTCCAATTTTAGGATTTATATAAGCCTATTACTATATTGTCGCTTTTTTGTATAGATGTATGTTCAGTTGAAAATTTAATAAATAGTGTTACGTTGTGTATAGTTGCGATGTGTAGTTATTGTTAGTTACCCAAAAAGGATCACGTCAAGAATACCGTATTACTTATCACGGTAAAAAAGACGTACCTTTTTTCTCCAATTCAATTAAATACTGACGCGTTAACTCATGAAATATTTATGTATTAATTGGTATATTATTAGAGCCGTGATAGCTCAGTGTCCGGGCGCTCGCCTTTAATTCAATATACTCGAGCAACCTGAGTTCGATGCCCGGTGCCGGTACCAATGAAGTTTTTAACTTTAAGTACTGTCTTATCACGTGCTCCGCGGTGAAGGAAAACATCGTGAGGAAACCTGCATATTTTCGAAATAATAACAAAAAAAAATATTTCGAAAAATATGTGAAGGCCGCCAATCCGCAGTGGGGCCGCGTGGTGGACTATGCCCTGACACCCTCTATATAGAGGAGGCCTTTGCCCAGCAATGGGACATGTTTAGGCTGTTACTTTACTTTACTTTTATTAGTTTTTTAATATTATAATTATTCAGCTATTGCATAGGTTTTATCGCGGGCTTGGAGCGCGTTGATCGAATCTAGAAATTCCGTAACGAAAATAAAACCTAACACAACCCACTCCACCTACCATGTAAGAGATGTTTGATTGTTTGTATGCATTAAATAGGGTCCGAAAGTACTGAACCGATTTGAAAATTTATTTCACTGTTGAGAAGCTACATTATCCCCGGATGACATAAGCTATATTATATTTTCAAAAAAATAGGGATCGTTACTAAAACTTCAATAATGTAACCCAAAGTGTACAAAAAAAAAAATTCTTTACATCGCGTGCGCTGCGAAAACAATTGATGATAGAATAAAGTAATGTACTACGAATTGCAGAACACATCATTATTTACAAAAAGTGTCGGGGCAGCATATATCTAACTATTATAGTTATGCCACAATAAGTGTTCTTTTATTTTAAAATAAATAATTATAATTGCATAAATTCATAAAAGATGCTATGCAATAGCTTTACCGCGGCAGTCCCCGAGTACCACAGGTTTTTTTTAAAATAATAACATGCTTTATAAACTGACTGTTACTATTTCTATGGCAGAGGAAACAAAATATATAATCAGCCAACAACATCATATTCTCATTAACAGCCGACGATCTCGATTTCGGGAAAACGAAATTTCGGTAAACGCGCACAACCATTTGATCCCGGACGAAAGCGTTTAGTATTTATAGTGTTATTCCACCTTTGAGGGCGAATATCAAAGCGACGGGTTCCGGGCAGATTTTTCGGTATCGCTGGCGTCTTAAACGCCGCTCGGCAGCCGTCGAAAGATTTAGCGGCTTCAAGAGCGACACCGGGATCTATCACCTGAACATTTAGCTTTGAGTAAAAATAAATTCCAAAGTTTCCCGGAATAACAACAGTGTCAAGTCAACACGTCTTAGCGCGGGGATTATATTTGTCATCGTAGTCAGTATTAGCCACTGCCTGGGCTGTATAGGCTCACCGTCTGTTGAGAGCCGCGCGGCGAACAGATGTTTTGTCGGCGCGTCACCTAAGCGACCAAGAGGACCCGCCTTCCGCAACAACTTAAAATAAACAAAGATTTTTATGCGGCCGCAACGTCGAGTCGCTATTTATGGAGCTGTCATTTCAGCTTAAGCACCTAATGAGCCGTTTCTAATACAGCGTGGTAGTTCTCATTCGGACTCCCTGTTTGTTTACGTAATTACTATCCACACGCCTCGAGGCTAATGTACGTTCATATTTTAGTCTGTTAAACTCACGGCTGCGGGGAAACGTTTCGGCGTCTATTTAATATAGTTCTAAAATAAGTGAGTGTTGCCTTCCCTCACTCTGGCGTAATTGGTGTGAAATGTTCGAAATAGTATTATATATCTCATTTTAGATAATCGTCGCTTGTGCGTTGATTTACACTTCACGTGTTCCCTTTGTTTTAGATTAGATTTTGATTGTTAAATTTATCGTTTTCATGTAGGATCAATCAATCAGTCGATAGAAATCTGCGGTTTCAGAGGAAGCGTTACTTTAGTCAGTATAATTCGGCGTGCGGTGCAACCAAAGAAGATCTTTTATGCAGTTTTAATGACTGGAAGCCGACCTTTTAAAACCGTGATTTATTTGTTTCTGGTTTAACTCACTATCTCGGTATTCTTTTCTAAGAGATGGCAAATCAGCAGCATAGATTACCGCCTTAGACAATCCGCGCACTGGAGAGGTGACGTTGTCAACTTATCAAGATTTGTCCCGGTGGTTGTTATAAGCCAGTCATCTCATAAGGTAATTCTCTCCGTGATATTCAATTTTTTTGCCTTTTAGCTAAATTATATCAATTTGAACCTGATGGGATTGATGATTCTCCTCCATCTCGACTACACCAAGGCGTCCACGCTTCGGCAAACTGTTCTACAGATTGAAAAAACGACCGAACACGAACTTTAATTAACAAACAACCACGATCGATTAGCGGCCACCGGTCGCCTATAACATAGTTGTAGCAGTCAACAAATTCGCGTGGCGATTCTGCCGGCAACGGTGCGTAAAAACGTGCGGGCACGCTTCGTTAGCGCGTACCCGACATGAAACAATATAAATAAGCAATTTTAATTGTCCCAGCGCCCTCGGACGTCCGTCGAACAATCGCCGCTTCGAATCCGAGAGCAACAAGAGCAGCGGCGTCAATATCGACGGCTCGATACGATATTCGAAACCAGGCGGCCGCTGTGACGGATTTCAGAAATGTTTCAACTTTAACCACCCCTCCCCCACGATCCCGCACCTCCCTCGCCCACCGTACGCCGTTAACTTGGTATTTGGGTTTGAGGTTTCGGTTCTCCTTCAGTTCGAAGACAGATCGATTAATTAATTGTCGCATACAGCATATTACTTCCGACCCCGTCAGTGGTTAGCGCTATATTAGACTCCGCGCTCTAACTTTAACGCCCGGTTTTTGAAACACTGATCAGAATGATCAATTCTATGAGTTTTACCATCATTTGACAACTAAAATGAAATTTGAAAAGCCATTTGACAGCTGATTAGTTGACATCTACGATGATCCTTGTTTCAGAAACCGGCGTAAGGTTTGTCTATATTAATATAGTCATCGGCGTGACTGTTTGTATTCAAAAAACGTTTGAATGACTTTCCAGAGATTATACTTACATATATATAGATACATATCTTGTACAGGCCATGCTAGGGTGTAACAGTACCAGACAATGTAAGGGTTAGAACAAAAATCAAATAGAAAGTCAGAAAAGAAGGCAACATTTATTATTATTAAACTAATGCATAATTATAACGTAAAACAGTCTTTGAACCCGGATCGAAGTCCTTTCATACCTGTATACATGGTATACGATAAAGAGCTCCACGCTGTTTGCGAACAGAGAGCGATAGCAAAGAAATTACAATTGAATTAGATTCATAACAGAGCAACAAACGCCAATGAATATAGATGCGGCCGGGGCTTAGCTGGCGGCCACCTGTCCGCTCCCACAGGAAGCCGGCGATTTTTCGGCATTGCCGATGCAAAGTTCCTCGTTAATATGTAAATTAAGAGTTATCTGTTCCGAGGATGCGGCGGCTTAGGGTCACTTTCGCGCGGCGTCGGCTTCCATTGGCCGGGCGAATGTTGGTTCATATGGTTTTATTGAGCCAGGACGCAGGGGACTCTCGCGTTTAACGTACCCGGCTCGTTTTGGGCGCCCTTTGCGGAACGGCCGAAGATGAACGCTTCGGATTTCGATGATTATTGTTCCGCGATCGCTATTCGCTATGGATATCACGTAAACATTTGTGGAGATCTATTTTGCGCGTTTGACATCTTTAGATGTATGAATGTATTTTTGAATAGGAAACAGATATATTTTTATACGAAGGCAGACATAATGTACATGTAAGGCCATGTAAGGACATGTAAGGCCATCAATATTATTTACAGTCGCCACTGGGTCGGTCCAGAGAAATTACGGTTTTGTGATATATTTTTGAAACTCTGTCATATTCACGACAATGTGTTTACAATGCTTAAGTTGCAATGTTTTAATTGCATAAAATCATGTCTTCATTTAATTATCGTTTTATGCCTTTTCTCCAGTAATTATATAGAAAACATAATAGAAAAATGTAATAAAAACCACATTTTGCCAAAAGTTTATCGTTTGTTTTTTTTTATTCATTTATAAATACTTTTGACATTAATGTTTTATTTAGTCATTAATTTGAATTGTCTGTTTTCGTTTTCTAGGATAATAAAGAAATGTTTTGCACGTCGCGAGGGTAACTCGGAAAGAAAAAAAAAAACAAGGATCATTCCAGGCCAAATGGAACTTTACTGTAATTAAATTGATCGTTAATCAGAGGGCCGGAATCTTGCTTGCACACACATCGTTCAGAAATACATCATCTGTGAAAAATTCAACTAACTAACTACCTGCGTTCATGAGACAGCCTGGTGACAGACAAACAGACAGCGGAGTCTTAGTAATAGGGTCCCGTTTTATCCTTTAGATACGGAACCTTAAATCACCGTGCTGATGGATTAAACTGTTAAATACCGTGTATAAGGAGCAAATGAAATTGCACCTCATTAAACTTTCTGCACGAATAGGCCAGATTAACCTGAGAAGTATCAAAACCGTAGAGAAGAACGGGTTTTTATTATGAAAATAGCCATTAGCTGGTGATATCGCATTTCGGCTGATGACTAATGTACGGACGTCTGCCAACTGTATCGTGATTAGCAACACTCCTGCAACCTGGTGGTATTCACGGATCGTCACTTACCGTCATGGACGGTTTGCACGGCCGAAATTTTATATTAAAAAATTGCACCAACGGATATTAGAAATTCAAAACTAGGAACCAAACTCTTCATTAGAATTCGGCGCGCGGACGGCTTGCTCCTTTTTCCGGCGGAATCATACCGCGGCTTGTACACCACACCGACTCCACGAAAATTAGACTTTACGCTCTGATTCTTACCGGACCCGTTTAGTGCTTTAGTATAATTATGAGATTATATTGTTGTTGTGTTGGTTTATCGCGGTACACATACATTAACATACGATTATATGTGAAATTCGTTGCCCCAAACGAACTTAAAAAATAATAATGATGTGCCACACCACTTAGCGAAGTCAAGTAGGCTATAAAGTAACGCAGTAACGCGAATATTTACTGTAGAAATTAATAAGACAAAAGATATTTAAATGGATCCTCCCAGAATATCGCTGAATCGCGTATAGTGAGTGGTTTATATCAGCTCTTAGTTCTAAATGCTATTTTAAATTCACATAATGTGTTTTCTAGGATTTTTTTTATTGCGGCTACCACATTTATTGAATTAAATATGCATGCGGTAAACTCATTTTAATTAACCATTAAAATAAGTACCCAGTAACTGTATAATAAGTAACAAGCATTATTCGTAATAAAATCTTTTCTTTTATTTTAAATGTAATATATTATACTACTTCAGAAGAATTCTGAAAAAGTTTCTTCCTTTTATAATACAATAATGGCATTACTACAGATGATCAGAATATTCCCTTGTAAAATAATTTGGATCGAAACTTATTCAGCTTAGCTAATTATACATATCTAGTTTTTATTGGACCGAATTGTATTAAAGTCAATTTATATCCTATTTGTAATCTAATGAGAGAAGAGAGTCAAGTCACTCTCAGAATCTCGGAAACGGCTCCAGCTATTTTCATGAAATTTAGTATGTGCGTAGATTCTCGGGCGAAATATCGAACTAGCTTGGTTTCATTTTTAGAAAATGTCCTTTTATCCCTGTTTTCAGGGAATGAAAAATATAATTCGAATATGACAGTAAATTTCGCCGCAAAAAAAATGTTATAATAGCTCGGTCGGTATACGGGCGGCCCCAAAACAGACGGCCGCGGTTCCTATTACAATAATTTACACACTTATTTTTCTTTTCTTTTTTTTCCATACCAGATAATTTTCTTTATTTTTTTTATTTCTAAAATACATGATTTACCAAAAAAAAAACGAGTAAAGCTCGGTCCTCCAGGTACTGGAACATTAATTGAGGATATGTTATAATGTCTAAGTTTCCATTAAGATCGTGCTTCGTGGCAGTCTGTTGGGAGGCCCATGTTCAGCAGTGGATTCAAACAGACTCATATGATGATGGTGATGATTATGATGGTGATGATGATGATGATGATGATGATGATGATGATGATGATGATGATGATGTTAAATGTTTATAAGCAAAATGTTTCCGATAACATCTATGGCGTTTATAAATAAATATTCCACTACTAGATAGTACAGAGGCACGTTTATACGATTGAGTAAATGGTTTCAATCGCGAAATCAACGCAGTGACTATCTAATATAAGCTTTTAATAATAATTTCCTATGTACTAGAAGAAGCAGACTGCGCGCAATAGCGGCTTGACCGCGCCAACACTACTGAGTGTTAGTGCGGTCAAGCCGCTATTTAACTAACTGTAATTACCATGCGTGTTGAAAGAGATTCGCGAAAGACACTTGTAAGGATTCCCTTGCGGCATTGGCTGCTCGTAACTAGCTGACTGGAACGCTGAGGAGTACTGTGCTTTATTAAGGGACACGAAAGAGGCCATAAGCTCTTTACACCAAAAATGCGTTCTCATCAGACGCACATCAATCGAAGTCAAATTGCTCTAATGATTACTAACAAATTAAGGCGTATCGGAAAACATGGCATGTCAGGACATGTCGTTTCAATTCATGAGTGCAGAATATGTTGCGGGCGACATCATCAGCGCTGATTGAAGCCCCGCATCAATTATAACGTTGGGGGCTGGACGAATAAAAAAAACAGCGATCGGCAATTGTTTATTTGAAATTCCAACAAAATAACATTTAGTCGGTATGACAAAACAAACGCTGGCCAGGATTGTTGGCGGAATACTAATATGGCTTAAAGAAGAAATAAAGAATCGCATAATGTTGTGTCGTATTTGTAATGTGGACGTCGATAAATCATAGTGAATCAGCCACAATCGTTCCGATGACATGGTATGCCCACAAAAAATAATACAAGCCATCATTCAGATGCCCCGTAGAATTGGGTGGGAGCCCGACTCACTCGTAGGGTTGCAGATTACGTCGATACAATAAATGCTTTGATATTTCATCTGAATCATGGTCCTTGCATTCTGAACTATCTCTTTAGTGTGTCCAAAAAAATAACGATTAGTTTATAGGTTTTTGTAAAACTTTGCAAGTACTTTAAGCATATTAAGTCAAGCAAATTGAATAGAGCTAAAATGAAAGAATTTTTTTCCTACCGTAACTTCAGTAGTATGGAATCCAAAGCTAAAAAAATACTTTTTATACAAGAGAAATACTATAAAAATATTATTAACTACAATGTACGCCTTTTTTAATAATAATTAATTTTGCTTTAAGGTTCCATAACAAAGATTGTTGATGCTGCCGAATAGCTTTTGCCATCCATAACTGATCACGTTTCGGACTAACAAAACGCGAATTTATTTTAAATGCTTATATGAATTTTGTCCCTAATTTATTTATCTATTGTATCTGGGCTCATCCAAGAGAAGGTTTTGATCATATTTGATATGATCATATCGAGATTTATCTTTTCAATAATTTTCTGGTTCTATTAACACGCCGTTAATGTAGTAGCATTTTCACTGGTGAAAATCATCTATTTTTGATCTATATTCTGTTAAGATCATGCGTGTTAGAATTTGAAAGTGTTTTAATCACACAGCGAAACAGTGTTGTAGGTCGGTTTAATTATTGCTGAACGTATTTTAAAATATGCATACATACATTCCCTGAAGATCCCGACTCATTGTTTGTCTCGAAAGAAAGAGCAAAACAGCAACCAAGATGGAGATGTCCAATATTTTAGATGGCATAGCAGTCGCCGCTACGAAATCGGAATTCCAGACTCAAGGATTCTCAACGGCATCCCGGGCGAATACCGTCTGTAAACCTATACTGAGAAAGCCGGTATTGCCATGTGTCGTATAAAGCACGATGAGACTATATCGCAGACGTCCGTACAACGCTTTAGTAACCAGGTATGCAATAGATAACCATGTTTTATGCTAATCCTGTAACAGAAACATAACTTACAAATTTTCGAGGGCTTTCGCGGGACGTGATGCTGAATGATGGTGCCGCGCGCTTCACATACCATCCACCGACGCTCCGATGCCCGTATGCATATGAAATTATGAGCAATCAACTCTTTGATTGTTATATTGACTTTTGCCCGTCATCGGCTATTAAGATTTCTTTGTTGTAGAAACATGTTGGACTATTTACACAACACGCTGCCCTCAGAACGGCTTTGTAAAAATAACTCGGACCTTTTTTTCCTTTTGGGTGTTGTCGGTCAGCGCATATCGCTCTCACGCATATTGAATGAAATCATCGAGTCACTTAGCGCGACGCGAGTTTAGAATTTGCTTTTTAATATGAACCGTTCCGATGGCTTTATTATGGGCGCTGAATGACGCGTTATAGATTGGGTAGGTGCTACAATGGCAACGCTCCGTGGTGACAATGACGCGTAATTGCCGCGCGAGAGGATGTAATTGAAATATGAATTTGAGCAGCGGCGACTGAATCATCGTTCGAAAATCTTGATTGGCCTTGCTGCACTCGTCGGAGTTCATTCAACGTTGTCATCCGTGGCTCACTGATCCGTGTCCAAACGGTTTCTTTTTTAAATTTTAATCTTTCCATGTTCCAATATCTCCGTTCGATTTTACCATGCGACAGTTGCTGTAAATACGTAATAAAGATCAGTGGGTAGAATGGCGCACAATCTCGACCTTTCCATCGTATTCTGCAATCCCTTAGCAAATGTCTGAAATTCTCAAAACGACAAAGGAGCATTATGGGTTACACGGTGTAAGGAAAGTATGTAAGGGCTTTCAAGGCTAATTCGATTGTGTTAAGAAAGAATTGGACATTAAACGTTTTTTTTTTGTTTTTATACTATATGTGAACATTTACTTTGTACAAGCTTATTTGCATGTATTATGTCATTATTATATATGCATACGTACATATTAAATTAAAAATTAGTATTTTGTTTTAAATGGTTTCTGTAGCTTTTATTATGTGGCCAGAGCCTTTTTTTCAATTTCATGCACACTATCTGGCAAAACCTTTAGCATTTTACAAGATTTTTTTATGTGGCTTTTGACAAACGAATGACGGCAACATGAGGTCACGGATCTTCAACATAATCATGACGTTACAAGGGAAACTCATTTTGATTTTTTATATACTCAGAGGGGCCAATATTCTTCTTATTTTATCTTACAAATACCCAGTTGTGTATACTCAGCTGCGTCTAAATAATATAAACAAGATGTCCTCAAGAACTGAGTCTTTAAAGTCGCCATCGCCTATGCCACGAATAAATCACTCATTGGCCGACGTAACTATGTTATAACAGGACGGATGAAAGTAATTGAGTGGTTCTCATGAATTCCAATATAATAATTCCGTCATGCGTCCCTTCAACGCTGTCACGGGCTGCGCTTCACACGTTTTGTTTATTTATATTGTAGTCGCCTTTCATCTAGTATACGTGAGCGAATAATGAATGTAAGACATACCACGGGCCGGTGTGCTGACCTCACACCGGACACGGTCACATCAAAGCGGCCAGTGTCAATGATTTATTCGTATTTGTAAGACTTTGGCCCAATTACGGCGGCGGGAGGTTTGTGCATTTCCATTATACGGGGGTAGCCGCAGCGCTTTGATGTCTAATTAGGTGCATGCGATGAGCTTGGCCCTCGATTGACTGATTTATTGAGGCGTGTTATAGCAGAGAGGTCGCGATGGTCGCAATTAACGTCTGCTTGGGCCCCGGGCGCGCATAACTCGTATCTACTTTGCGAAAACGGCTCTCTGCGCTCCCCTCGACACTTCATCGTTTTGATTATTTTGGAAGCCTCCGTTTGAAATTGTTCTCAATTGGTATCCGCGTGGAGTGGTCGCAGGCATCTCATGCAGATGGGTGCTCGACACTCTTAAGGCCTTATTAAAGGTCAAATGCCAATTGGAGAACGTTTGGATCAATTTGTGCGAGTTGTTTATACCAATGCAGTATAAATAATATGTTTTGTGTTTTTAGCTTGATTTATTAAGAAGCTTTTGAATAGCAATTATCAAATTTCACAGGTTAGGAATTTTTCGTGTGTGCAAATGTGACAATGACAAGGTTCCATGTCTTAAATTTCTCGTCTATGTCTAATTTGGTCCGTTGAAACTAGATACTTTTACGTAAAGTGACCTTTTACGAGATGTCCTCTTTAATCGTTATTACAACTAAATAATTAAAACTTAGTAATGGTAGCCTAGATGGAGTGACGACCTGTGCAAATGTGCGGGAAGTCGATGGATGCAGGTGGCTCAGGATCGTGCTTCATGGCAGTCTGTGGGGGAGGCCTATGTTCAGCAGTGGACTCAAGCAGGCTGAAATGATGATGATGATGATGAATGGTAGCCTGTGTATTTTTCTCGAACTTAAGCAATCTTAGGCAGTAGAGACGCCGCACTTAATAAATATTAAGATAAATCTTATGTAAACATCAATCGCTAGTGTAAAATCTTTTCGGATATTGGGACTCAAAAAAAATTGTATGTTGCACGGAGTAAGGGCCACCTTATCAAGCGGTTCCCTAAATTATAAGCGACCTTGCCTTTTTCAAAATCAGAGGTGCAGCAAAAACGCTGATCTTATAGATAAGATAGTCACTCGATCTTAAGAGTTACGTTACTTTATGCCAGAATTCCACGGGCGCCGTGGCCACCATCGATGTATATATATATATATATATTTATTCTGGAATGTTCATGGAAGGCCCGTTGTACCAGCTTCCTTTGCTTCTCTTTGAGGATGCGTAAACGGGTGCCAGAGCTGAAGCTAGATTAAGTGTAATGAAGTTTGTTTGTGTTGTAGAACAAATCTTCTAAATGCTAATTACGGTTTTGTTTGCATTCAGCTTCGTGTGGCGGTTCATCCTGCTTCTTGCTTTAAAATAATATAGTAATACAAGTAAGTTTTACCTAATTTGACTGATTTTTAACATCCTATAGGTACAGAAAATAGAGTGCATCAATGTGTAAAAATGTAAATATAGACTCATCACAGAGATTATTTACACTTTAGTGTATTTGTGTTGCAATTAATTAATTTTTTTTTTGAATATTTTCGACAACTTCGGATTTTGATGTATTTATTTCCTTAGTACTAATCATAAACGTAATATTAAATTAGGAAATTTATTAAACAAATTCAATACAGTGCGGATTAAAAAAAAAACAACGTTTTAGTTTTATTAATAGGAATGTTCTTCTTTTGTTTGTGGTCTTGTCTTCTTCGGGATGAAGGATCTGAGAGTAGGAAATAAATAAAAATCATTGAACTTATTTCTGTATTAAATTTTATTGCATCTATTCACACACCTTCCAGGGAACTGTTTAAAGACGTTTGAAGCCAATAAATACAATTATCAAAACATAAGGCTTTAAGTATAACGTCAAAGGTATCATCTAAGGATTCGATCCATCAGCGTATTATAATGACGAAATAAAGAAAAACAACTATGATTGAATAAAAATTAGTACCTCGTCTATTAATAGTCTTTATAACTAACACACAGTGCTACTTTGTTTAAATCTTTAGTTCGATCGAAATTATGATTTATCTCTTACACGGATGAATGTATTCGTTGTTTACACAGCTAGCTAACATGAAAATTAGAACACTTCATCCGTTTTATTTAATAATAGTTTATGTACATCAAAACGGTACCTAATACAGAAAAGTTTATTGCGTTACTTCTCTTAAATATCCATTAACATTATAGTATTTACTTACAACATTGAAGTATGTATGTACAAAATATAGACTCAATAAGGACTTTCAGTCTCTACAATATTGAAAAAGGGGAGAAAATATTTTACATTAATTTCGAACCGAATCCAGTTTTTTTAGTTTAGTAACTATACATACAATTAATTATCATTTATTACAATTATACAAGGCCATTAAAAGTTATTGCCGAAATGTATATAGAACTAAAGTTGTCCTCTTTAAACAGAGCTATATAATGGGCTGACGGCCGGCTCTATACAACAACGAAACAAGTCGAGGGTTGTAATAATATGGTGACATGTAATACTTCCTTAATATTAAATGTTATACTTTTTATATCTAATGAATTACATTACCAACTAATTTTGTCTACATTATGATGTGAGATCAGGCAGAGCGAGTGAAAAAATTAAATACTAGTGCAAGTTTTAATAAAATTACTATCGTTCAAAAACCCAATGTCCCAGTTCGTTTCGTTGATGAATGCCCTAAAAGAATTGTGTATAATATTCATGACTTAAGAAAATATAGTTAATTTTCTACCACCAGTGCGTGATCAAACTATTTCGAAATATCTGGACACGGTTTTAGTTTTTAGAAATTCAATCAGTCAGGGGCAAAGTTTTGAATTGTTTCATAAAATGGATGAAATTAGCTTTAAGTATTGTTCTTTGAAAAACTCACCAGTGCGCCCAATTTCACGCCGATCGGAGCAACATTGACAATCTTAATGAGGTTTATTTTCTTTTTTTAGTAATTACAATACACGGTGAAACTGAACATGCTAATTCACAAAAGAATTCTGCTTAATTATCCCTCTTTATATTACTGCTTTATCGCCTTTTGCGTAGAATATTTATAATTAGACCTGCTAATTAAACAAAGTTACCTACCTATTCTGGTCTTATTTTGAAATTATTTTGTTACGAAACATTAGAGACGGGAAATTTATTTCTAAAAGTGCGTAGTATGTTATGAAAAGGCATGTCTACTAACAGCGTATTTCAAAGAAATACTATTTATCAGTGTCATTCTAACGATACCGTATAGTGAACGTCATCATGTGTCTCGTAGGAATAATGTAAGGAAGCATTTAATATGACAACACAAATATGTCTCTAAGCATACCCAGCTAAATTACTTATACAATAAATAACCTTGAAGTTATTTATATAGGGTCAGTTGTTATGAAAGCATTACGAAATTTTAGTTAAACTACCATCGGAAAACAAGAGTTTGAATTTTAAAACTAAAGTCTAGACGGGTAGAAAATACATTTGCGAGATAAAAAGGTTTATAAATAGTACGGAAATTATTGATTCGAAACTATTTGTGATTTTGGTTGGGTTAACAGCTTTCACAAAACTATACTTCGAATCACACAAAGAACATGCTCTAGTTTCCGGTTCAATTATTTTTAGTTAAAGGGGACTATTTTTTTATATATATAGAAGCTCCGAAGAAAATTGAAGCTATGTAGTAGACTAATAATTAATTGTTTTGTGTCAATCAATCTCAAAGTCTAGTCCTGACTTCAAAATACATAAAAGTTAATGAATGTAATTTGTTACTCACGAAGTAATAATGATTTCTTAGGTATTATTTTCCTTTATATAAATAAGTTAAAATTTAAGAGAGATTTTGTTTTCAGGTAATGTTGTTACAAATTATCACATAATCGGAATATTCAATGAATTTTAACAAATTATTGTAATATGGCCTAAACTAAACATTTGGGACAAAGTACTTTCCAAATTATGTTGTGTTGGTATAAAATAAAAATATTTTGAAAAACGCAAAATACTTGCAGTTAATTTATTTTGAATCTATTTTACAAAATTATATAACAATTAAGGTCTCCCAGACCATAAACAGATATTTATTATATTTACGAAGACGATTAGTTTGGTTTTCCATGTTTAATATTTCCCTGTTACTATAAATTTAACGCACTACTTTTACTATTACTATTTGTAATGTGAGATTAAATAGATATATTTCTTACTTACTGTATGTGTATTTACTTCGATGATGTGTTCATCTTAAGACTTATCTTCAAAATTGAATTAAAACGGATATCGGTAGTCCAAATTACGATATATTATGTAGAGACTAATGGCCGTCTGAAAGCCCTAACAAATTCCACGCTAAATACGTAAGTACATACAAATTATATTGCTAAGATATTAAAAATGACAATTCTCATTAAAAGTTTAACATAGACAATCATAGTCTTGTGACTAGAAATGAACCAAACAGACACCTCTCAATGTTTAAAAGAACCTGGTGAGTAGCGATAGCTCGTAAATTAATAAAATTAATAATAGTTATTATTACTGACCTCGTATCAATAAATATTAAAATTCGAAGGTTACATTTTTATAAAACAATAGACAAAAACTGGACGTAATTAAGCACTAAATATAAAAGGGGAACATTTTGAAAATAATTTACACCCTACATAATGATTATCAAATTAAAAGTCTAGAACGTCCCCGTTCGTCTATAAGAAACGTAACACGTGTTAATACCTATTTTCTCCTCGTTTAACCACCTCCAATAATAACTACATACAGCAACATGTCGCAAGGTCCAACTTGTATTAGCACCTAATATTGTCGGTCGGTCGGCGCGTAGCCGCGCCGACGTCGGTCGCGAGTAGTCCGACTCGCGACGCGGGCGGCGCTTGCGTCCACTATCACAAATCTAAGCTTCTCTACCGGTGCATAAATTAATTATTATCACGTACATATACGTATGTATACACATTTATATGATCATTATTTACAGACGTGATGGCGCTCATGGCGTTATGCGACAGCGTCGCGTTTATTGTCGATGCGCCAGTGGCGGGCGAGGGGCCAGCGGTCAGGCGCGGGAGGGGGGCGGCGGCTCAGCCAGGGATGAGGTGGACGACGATGAGGGGGAGGGGGCCGGTGGCGCGGGCGCGGGGGCAGCCAGCGCCAGCGAGCGCGAGTACTCCAGCAGCGCCACGTCAGCGGGATGAGCCGGCGGGTACAGACCTCGGTACAGCTCGGGTCTGCTGTAGGGATGAGTGAGCCGAGCGGCAGCGGCTGCGGCAGCGGACTGGTAGAAGGCCGACGCAGATGGCGGCGGGGCCGGGGCCTCGCCATCCTTACTTGCCATGTCGGCCAATGACCAGATTCTGGGCTTAGCTGACGCTGGAGTGCTGCCAGGTGGAGCTCGCGAAGGTAAGTGTTGGTAAGCCGGGTGAATAGGTCTCTCGTACGGCTCCGGCGACTCCGGGCCACTGTCTGCTCGCGACTCTGACCATTCGGACTCCGTACGCTGTCCCAGCAGATCCAACCTTTGCTGCGGCCTGTCTCCGTCCTCGCTTGAACCGGTCCCGGAATCTTTACCATCTAAAATAAAAGTGCCTTTGTGAATAAAGGGTATTCACGGACAGTATCCAAATATTTAAACACATTATAAACTTAAAAATGATATTTAGAAATTTGTTTACTTTTGATGTTGTTAGATTTATATACAATATACGTACCAAGCGCATCCTTCCCGTCGTTGCTCTTGTGGTCATCGTCGTCATTATTATTGTCATCATCATCAACCCTATTCCTCGGCTCCCAGGTCATCTTGTTCTCCTTCTTGAGGCGGCGGCGAGCATTCGCGAACCACGTGGACACCTGCGTCAGGGTCATCTTCGTGATGATGGCGAGCATTATCTTCTCGCCCTTGGTCGGGTAGGGGTTCTTCTTGTGCTCGTTCAGCCAAGCCTTAAGTGTGCTCGTCGTTTCACGAGTTGCGTTTTTTCTCCGCGCGCCGTTAAGATCCATTCCGTATCTGTCGAGTAAACGAGCGATTAGAAACAATCGAATTCAATTTGTCCGTTGGAATAAGACCCCATTGATATCGTTAACAATGTTATTCATGTTCTAATTTTAATTCTTTATGTGTATTGCACAATCGAAATCGTGTGACGGTGGATTGAAATGAATTCACAGCTGTGTGTTAATTTTTAATTCGATCTATGTCTCTTTCCTCGCGGTGGAGCGAGTGCTGAAGTTACTTAGCGGACGCTTTCCGGTATTAAGGACGGGCTCAACAAAAGCGTCGAGTGCGATTTGGACGGAGATTTCAGATAGCGTGATTCGTGACCGCCCCATTTCCAAGGGCCCTTCCCCCCTGAAGCGATCGGCGGGCCAATGAAAGCGGCAGCATAATAATTGAAATCGAGATAAAGCATTCGCTTCTGAAGCGTTAAGCTGTAGCTTATCTCAGAGACAGTTATACGCATTTGTTGGCGGACCGCGCAGCGTTATCCCAATTGTCCTATCTTTATTACGATGCATCCCTCGTATCGCAATTCTATTAAGCCCGATATGCGTTAGGGCGTTGCTATTATTGTAATTATTACTACGCTCTTCAATTCAACAGACATATCGCAGCCCTCGATGGGTTTCCGCGTCCGTTATTTTGTAGGCATGGCTGCAATTGATTATTTTGACGGATCCTATTCAACGTTACGCCATTTACAGTCGAAATTCGTATTGAATCATCCCGTATCGTATCGGGCTTTGTCACGTTTTACTGTTTCATTTTCGACGTTTAATTTTCCATTTTCATTTTAAGTCGTAATGAAACGGTTATTGTGGAATGTGTCAGGTCGCAAACCGAACTAAATATATTTTTATTTAAAAAGAAGATGATAATTAAACGAGCACAACTCAATGCAAAACTTCTTTTGTGTTTTTTTTTAAATTAATAAAAATATATTCGATAGACCATTCGAGGAGCGCTGCAAAGGTGTTCCATTTCACGGGCTATAAAATAATAAAGAGGTTTTATTGAACGAAGTTAATAAAACTCACACAACTGTACTGCCATTTCAAATTTTAAAAAGTTCCCCGGCACGCTGCGGCGCGAGCACTGCCGACTCCATATGCCGCCATAGCGAAAATGTTAGCAACCGGGAGGGTGGAAAATAGGGACGAGAAGTATGGGAAATTAATAAAACTGTCACTTAAATCGCAGAAGTGACGGCTCGATCCCCTTATCTCTGAGCGTGTCATTCGATATTGTGTCTTAGGAAGTATATAACACGGACACTTATCACGGCGACGCGTCCGCGGAATGAACTCGAACTGTATTGTCGAGTCTGTTGTTGACTTAATTCCTCTCGCCCCCAATCGAATGAGGTCCTCGTAAATAAATATGGAATGAGTCTCGTTTTATTTCGTGGCCGTCGAAGGATTCATGTTTAATAACAAACGGTTACGATTCCCGTCGACGCTGCGCCGTGGACAATATAGCAGGCATTAAACAATGCGGATGCACTATGTGACGGCTCGCGTATAAAACGATTAAGCGCCAAGTGAATTTAATGACGCCCCCGACCGAGTGAGCGCCGTGAATGAACTAACATCCATAGAATTCGTGTGACAATACGAAAGTGGGGCGACGTCGGGCTTAGGCGTATACCGCAAACAAAAAAGCATCATTTATCCGCGGCGTGCCACTTTCACGGCATCCGTGCTTGCGGGGATGGTTGCGAGGCTCCATTTTTTTATTATTATTCTGCTACCTCCACCCCCCCTCCCCCGCACCCCCGAGCCGTTGTGGCTTGCCACCCCGCTGACGCCTCCTCGCCTTCAATTAAATCCCTATCTCACCCGCCACCTCTCACTTCCTACTTGAACTCATAAAAATGAGATAAACACAAAAATATTGCCCGTGCCGAGGAGTTTTCTTTTTTTTTTTATTTTGTACAAAAGTCAACTATGCCGTTTCGGGATGTTTCGAATTTACGCTTCGACAGATCCTCGTTGTGTTTAAAAAGAATCACGTCTCAACTGTTTACTGCCCGCGCCTCTGACTTGTACATTTTGAGCCATCGAAATGTTTTAATCGCGCGACAATTTCGAGACTTATAATAATTTATATTTCATTTTTATATGAACTTATTAACGAGGAATTGTGTATACTATATAGTATATATTAAAGGTTCTCAAATTACCTATAGAATGCTCACAGTGGTAATTGAACTGCATAGAAAATTACTACACCTGGTGATATCAGGCGGATAGTATAATTTATTGAGTTTATGTCACATTAATAATTCTTTCAGACATTTATCATTAAAAACGAAATATCATCATTGTATTTTCTTTTATTTAAGAGCATGGCGTATTCAACAAGGCCGTTACCGCGTGGGAAGCAACTCGTCAGGTGGAACACAATCAGTTCAGAAAGCGTCCGCCCGTAGACATCTCGGTGCGACGCAACGCTCAGCTGCGCGCAATAAAGCGGGCGGACTTGGCGGGCGCGCATCAAGAGTCATAATAATGAAATAAAGCCAAAAGAATGGGCCGCAGCGGCCAGGGCGTTTGTTGTTAATATCCCGAACGAGCGGAGCGATCCGGGCCTGCCGCAAAATAAATCAGGGACCGGCGCGCGCCCGCGTTTTTATTTTTAATATCGCACGTTTTCGGCCGCTATGATACCGCAAAAAGTCCCACGCCGCGACACTGGCCGAGTGCAACAGTTGCCGCCCCCCGGGACAGGGATCGTTTACGTGGTTTTGGGTAACGAGCGTTTTCTTGACTTACGACATCATTAAACACGTGAGCCTAAGTATTAGAATGAGATCCTTTTTTATGATACCCTGTCATCCCCTTTTGGTATTTACAAAAGACACCATAATCCTATCATCTGGGGGGTAACGTGGTGTGAGTGTTATGTGAGGTTCATACGTGCTTAAATTCCCTCCGTGACCACCTTCTGTACGTCTGCAGGGACTCCTTTATCTCTTACTTAAAGGACCTGTACCCCTCGGTATGAGTACGCCTCGGAACAGAACAAACCTTCTTCGATACTCTCAGCGTCTTGTGACAGCACGAGACCCCTTCGTACTGCTGTTAGTCCATACTCCGAAAACCTCTTGGTTTGGATGGGATAATTTTCAAATTAATGATAAATAATTATGATAAATAAATATTATAAACGAGGCTTTCGATTACAGACATTGTATTTTGTGCATATGTTACTGATAATTTTGGTAGGTCGATTTAAAGTCATAGCAACTTTAGTAAACATATTTTGCTGTACCAAATTTAGTTTGTATTTATACGTAATACGTAATAAAAACATTTGACATCAATATTTTATTACAAGACGTGCGACGGCCGCTGATATAACCGGAGATGATAATAATATAACTACCAATGGTCAAACTGAATCTATATTTGGAATGTAGTCGGTCACAATTTTTAATTGATATTTACGATTACGATTAATTTTGTGACAAATGTAAAATATTTGCATTCGTTTCATTCTTATAATTTTAATATTCTTAAGCTTTTACTCATGTAATTTCGATGTCAGAGTGCTGTTTTCTTCTTTCTTAAATCTGTTACGATATCACCATTAGTTAGATAGAGAATCATGTTACAGAATTTTAAACGTCATTGATTTTCAAACATGTAGCATATTATAGTAAAATCGAACAAGCTGCTCAAAGACAAAGAGTGTCGGTGTACAATGTTGGTCATTCGGGATAAACGGAACAGAATCCACCATGTCACTGTAACCGTATCCCTTTTGATGCGAGCGCCGAACGTTCCGCGTACGCAAGAAACGGCCGAACCGCCTACGCCGTATTAAGTTTCCCTAACAACTTGGAATCACCAATGGCATCGAAGGCATCCATACAAGAGTGCGCGACACACCGTAAGGTAATAGACGAACAGCACCACTTTACGCACCAACGGTTTCTCAAACTAGGCGCATCTATGAAATAGAAAACTCCTGGTGACAGTTTCGTGTAAAAGTTATTCGAGGATTGTGTTTTCTAGAGCAAGTATTCTGTTACGTTACCCAGCTACATTGTCGATTACGTTTGAGTAGCAAATTAAGGGGAAAATCGACATCGCCGGTGTTAGGTGCCGTATGTGGGTTCTACAACTTCATGGTGGCGTCCGCCCCGCGAATTCCTGAACGCGGGTCAGACGCTTCGAATTAGTTACGCGCAGTGAATTCGTCGCATTTTACCGCTTACGAAAACTCACCCAATTAACGAGAGTGAGCGCAAGAAAACCAAAACGTGCATAGGGGCTGAACGGTTCACGAACGTCGTTTATGCGCCGAACGAACTGCCGCGTTCGTAAAAAGCCGGTATCAGATGAAGCCTAATTATTCGTCGTCGCAATATGGGAATGGGTGCACGCGATGACCAATCTCGGGGCGCGGGCTAAGTTTCGGAAGGTTGTTAGCGGGTATCGGTGGGTAGATACGGCGGGCCGGGGGCGCGGCACGCCAAAAACGCATTACGCGCCAGCGACGCGCTATTACGGGCAACCGCACGCGTCGACGGTAGCCGATACCCACCCGCACATGCCATCCGTCGACTAATTGGCCGGCACCACGAATGAAAAACCATAACGGGCAGCGCCTTGGGGGACGCCAGCGCCACACGGTGCCGCCGAGTGGAGTCCAGGTAATTGGGAGCGCGTTCTCATTGCCCGCGGTACATAAAACTTCCAATCGTTAGGTGGAGTTTTGGAGGGCGTGTTATCTACGGGCCTGAGCGGCGCGTCACGTGACAAGCGAAGCGGAAAGCCACCACCGGTGCCCCGTCAACGCCATTTTTGTTTTCGTTTCAAGGGGTGGCTTTATTACGGCCCCTGCGCGTTTTATTTGTTACTTTGGTGACCGAAAGAATTTTCGACGGTCGCTCACCACAAATAACAAAGCAGGACGCATTTGCAGGACGTCAATACCCCAGCACACTTACATAATTTTACAACTCGGATTCTTATGGAGCGTTTTATTTAGATATTGAACTTCGAATGTTATTAAAAAAAAAACAACCAAGATATTAATAATACTTGCCTACTTGTCACAAGATATTGAAAAAAACTAAGATTAACCGATACATAGTCCAAAATTTTCACACACTTCCCTAGTTGATAGAAAATATTAAAACATGTTGTTATAATTTTAGCTCTACGTCTGATTTGCTTGAAGAAGCGTAAAGTGAACTGTTTCTTCGTTGAACTGAAAAATTCTATTCTGTTAGGAAAAAAAAACCAATTTAATCTAAAGTAGTCAGCAATGGAAGCGATCATTATTGGAGTCCAAATCAATTCAGAGGTGCCACTGTCTTGGAACATGACATCAATTATTATTGTTTCGTTTATCTCTGGCAAATTATTTTTCTGTTTCACTTGCGCCCTGACCTCATGCTTTGCGTCTAAGATAACACTGGGTGGTCACTCGCATGTGTGCGTGTTAAGTTTTATATTAATTAAAAAATATCAGGATACTAATTCGTATGCACGTTGCCTCATACCAGCCATAAACATTTCTATAACTTGAATCACTGTTACTTTTGTTTACGCGAAAACTGCGCTTCGCATTTAATTATTGTGGTTTTAGTTAACGAAGTTTTGAGTACCACAAAGTCCATGGTCACGGGACAAGCTGATGAATAAAATTTAAATATTTTATGCACCGAGTATGCATTAATACATCTAAATTGTACAAAATAAGTTATTCATTTATTTAATTTTAATTTAACAGTAATGCTTTAATTACAAAAATCTTTCGTATAAAGAAATTCAACGAAAATGTATTGTTGTATTTAAACAACTCCATAATTAGGCAATTCAGCGAAAAATCTTTAGTCCCATGTTTTCCACAATAATCGACACATGTGATAACTGCAATCAATCACGATTTATTAATTACTACGCGATAGTAACATTGATTCGTATGGTTTTATTTGATTTTATTTTTTACATTACAATACCTACTCCGCATTGATTCGATAAATGCGTTTCCATTATGTTTTACGTGGTTATAATAAAACTTTTTAGATAAGGGAAATTTCATTACGAGTCGTCATAACAGGTTATACCAGCGAGATATAAATTGTTATTGATGTAAATGACTTGAACATTTTATTACATTATACCTTAACAAGAGCATTTCGGTTTAAGTTCGCTTTATCTTTAATATGTGTCCGCATTAATTTTTCGAAATGGAATGATATTGAATTATACGAGACCCGAGGTGTCTCGTCGCTTTTTATTTCATTTTCGGCCCTTTTAATGATTAATGGCTGTACGCATTGAGACGTGCGAGCGGGAGTTTTATTTGCACAAAAACATCATATCCTCTTGACTCGCTATAAAGAGGCGATTCACGACAATTTGTCCGATTGCGAGTACGGGACGCAACGCGACATTGGTCACGGGACCACCAAAAGGTTACACACAAAAAAGTTTCTTTCTATCGATAGGGTATTTGGGCAAAGCGTGCTCGTCACTCAACTGCCTTACACACCAGAGAGTTTCTATCGATAGGGTATTTGGGCGAAGCGAGCGTTACCCAATGGGCGTGTAGGCCAAGGTCGAAGACCGTCCACCGGGCTTGACGGCGGTGCGGGTCGCCCAAGTCGCGGAATCTGTTTACGGACCCGTCGCCTTATCGCGGTTCAGCTCTCGCTGGGATGTCGACAGATGCTATTTATCAAACGTCAGTCGGCAGCCGGGAGCGTTGAGGCGTAATATGTTGCTCGTTTGTCGCTGCGTCGGGTGCGGTGGCGCCAACAAAGCGCCGATACGGAGTCGCGGACCTCACAAGAAGCCCTATGTGGAGCGCACGGAGCACGGAGAAATAAGTGTCACGACCACGGGTCAGCCGCTATCAGGGGTCGCGTCATATTTTACCGCCGACACATCATTGATATCGATGGGAACATTGAATTTTACGTGGCCGGCGGCGTCTCTTTCGCAACCGTCGCACGGTCCGGTTGCGCAAACGACCGATATTCGGACCTTGCCCAGCGACACTGGCTGAGATTGGTTTGTGTCGACGCCGATGATAATGTTACAATTCACATGATCGGATTAGAGAACACTGATGTGTTACACATATCTCTATATTATGTGTTTAAATGTGAAAGGCGGTCTCTGAAATTTCACTTAGAGCACTTTCTAGAACAGATTCGATTAAAATATGAAACACGGTATCATTATTAATGTTTACGTTACTGCATGATAGTCCACTGTTACTATAAACATGATTTACTTTGCCTTATTTACATTGCCATTTACAGACTGAAAAGCAAAAATTTGATAAAGAAATGAAAAAAAAACAAGTTCTAAGGAAGATAATTATCGTTTTCACGGTCCGATATGACAATTGTTTGAAATATATTTTGTAACATGTTAAAACGATATATTACAATGTTTTTTATTTCATATGTCTATAGTATAATATTCTGCTTCTTGCTTCTTCAACTGCTAAATTTCAGATTTCAATTTGTATTTTGTTTGTAAAATTAAATTACAGCATTCACAACAAGAAGTAAAAATATGAGGAGAATAATGAAACTTCAACATTCTGAATATCTATCACCCTCAGACAATATGGCTTCTCTGTTGTTTATTTTCACTATGTCTGCTCTTGGTGTTGATGATATTTTAATTTAAATTAGCAATATGTAATTTGTGACAAGGTTTAGAATATCAAAGATTATGGCATCAAAGTTTTTGGTATCCTCCTTTGAACTGGTATATATGTATTTAGGAATAATGGTAGGTTATTTATTGATTCTAGATTTGATAATTTTAATGGTTTCTAGGTGAAGTGAACGTGTTTCGTGTTGTATAAAATAATCAACAAATCTTACATTAACTCAAATCCGGGCGCCTTAACCAGTAAGCCACCTTACCGTCACTTCAAATAGTTATAAATTGCAGCCCCCTTTTGTCTCCTGTCCCCTATTTCCCGCCTTTATTATGTTGCGATGCGTCGATATACTTATCGTGAAGGGCTCAAGTGACTTTTCTTGTTTTTCTTTTTAACTAAAAAAATCTCAATCTGAAACGTTATTTTTTTGTTTAAACGTTGTTTTGAGCGATTGAACTCCTCACCAATTAAAAGATGGTGTTGTAAAATAGTTACACAATGGAAACCTTTGCACAGTGACACAGACAGAAAGCGACATTGTGAATAACGTGTCCATTGTGACAATGAATTTGACATTAATATTCAACAGACCTAGACATTAACAGGCGAATCGTTGGACGCTCTAATCGATACAAGTGAACATAATTTTGTCGTGCACGAAAACTCTACATATGAACGATCTCAATAAAATATTATCGTTATACATTAGTATTAATTGGACCCAATTCGATAATTAAACACCTGCTCTAACGGCTGTCGTTTTATCTTCTAACATGCGCCTAAAAGTATTTGAAAATAAAACGGAACATTTAAAGACTACCTAGCCAAGCAATGTGTTATGTAATTATTGTGTAAGCTCACCCCGATTTGCATCAGTAATTAAATTAGTACGTTCAAGTTCATGTTTAACTTGCCTGCGGTGGTAAGTTGAGTATAGCTGGCTAAGTATGTACAAAAGCCCGGGATAGCGAAAGTATAACCCGTCCATTAATAAATGTGCGTATGCATTTTAATATAATAGGCCTATTTAATGGCTGCCATATTCTTCATCAGCCGCCGGTATTACGTGATGGTTGAATGAACTTAACGATGTAACATACAACTTATTGTAAGGACTTGTTATGTTCATTTGTTCAAATATATGTACATTGAAGGCCAAGGTGACGCAATGACTCCTAATATGTGCACTTCAATCGCTACTTTGACGGCCGTAGCATATTATATTGAATGTTAACTATTTTGGTCTAATAGAAAAAATACTTTTATAATAAATAAAAAAGTGTGAGCGAGTTTTTCGCTGGATTTTCCTGCAGGGGACTAAAGTTTTGAACCAACAATAGATTTGAAAAACAATAAATGGAATTAAAAATGGTGTTTATATTTAACTTTGATTTTGATTCTTTCGACGAAGTGTAAAATTATGGAACATTTCTTCATATGTACCGCACGCGTTCTTATTCCATTTACACGAAGCGCAGAAACTTGGTGAGCTGTGGGAAGTCCTCCAGCGAAGTGACTAAAAATTTAAGAGGCACCGCAAAGCCTAAACAGATTCCCAGCCACCTGAGAGGAGTATCGAAACGTGAGAGATTCGGCTTCCGTCGTTTCAAATTGAAACGAGGGCCGCGGTGGGTGCTCCAAACGAAGTGTGAAGTTGAATTGTGGCCACTCGCGTCTGCCGCAGAGAGCGCTTTGCCGGCGCTGACCGATAGGAAAAAGGAAAGAGGAAGCGTCCAATGCGCGTGGAATGAAATTAGCCCGTCGGTCAATTACTCCGGGCCGAGAGTGGCTTACTAATGGCGCACGCGGCGCTCCCTGAATACGGCACCGCTCATTTATATGCCGTCGCGCGTACCCTTTATTGTTCCATAGATCGGTAATACACGGGAGGACTGGCACTTTGTGCTGTAAATCGTTGTCCGCACACGTATCCACGATTAACTGTGTGCCTCGGCTGTTGGCGGCTGTCAGTGTGCAGCGGTGACGTCATGTCCGGGCCGGCCACACAGCGCTCGGCGGTTACGTGCCACTGGTCTCTTATCGGAACACGTCCCACTACGCCCTGGGTGACGCACGGCCCTTAGGCTAACTGGCTGCGATGCTTTACTAACACTTTCCTAGAATCCGCGCGCACCGGTAAACCTGCGGACGTGTCGGGCAGAAAAATGTTAGGCCGCCACGTGTAAAGTGGCAGGAGGTTAAATTCGCCCCCATTTTCCGTCATCGCATAATGTTTAATTATTAGTGTTGTTGGTGATGCCTTAAAATACGATTGAATAATTCAATGCTATTCTCCTTTGGGAATTATATTGCGCACCGCATTCTATTGTCAACTTGCTATCGTTCCTAGACCTCCTGTCTGAGTGTTGCGGATCAAAAGAATTTCTCAAGAAATGAACGATTGTCACTGATATATAGATGCTAGTCATTCATAATCAAATTCATACATCTTGGGCCTATGTTGTTTTTGTAAAGAGTTGACGAAATTTACTACGCATCAACTGCTCGAAAATATAGATCAGACTACAAGAAAATTGACTGAGTTCGCTGTCATAATGTATGTATTTTGTAGGTCTACCAGACTAGCTAATTTGTAATCGAGCAGAAGGACAAATGAAAAATGAAGAAGAAAGAAGAAATGAATTTTTCTAACTTCTATGATATTCAATATGTAAAATTATAAATTATTATCATGAATTGTTCATAGCCAGAAAGATAAAGTCATCCCAATACAAATTATGACCGAACTCAAGTCGGAAGGAGGGATCACTTGCGGCGTCAGCAACCTTTCTGCTTCGGCAACGGTGGTATTATTTACGAGGGAAGACGCAATACAGCCGCAGTAAAAATATCCGCCTGGAACCGGAACCGGTTCTATGTATGACAAATGGCACGACGTCGTAGACACTCCGACGTCTAAGTGTGATGATGCTGAAAATTGGTTAAGCGGATAATAGTTAAATTCCGATTGGATTTTAACTACAAAACCTTATATTCAACATTTTAGCTTTATACGTAATGACAATTAGACTTATATATAGAAATATATATATATATATATACATATATACATATATAAACTTAAAACATTCTTACTTGAGAGTTAAGATTGGGAATATGTTTCCTGTTGTATTTGAACATTAATGGACTCAGTTTAAATTAGTCGATTTGATTAAAAGTTATTAGCGTATCGGTTTGATATCTCGCACAATTGCGCGAATTGTTTGCGGAATAAAAAGAAGAAATCTGAACCGCATTTTAACATTGCAATAAACGGCGAACGACGGGCTAATTAACTATTTGGTCAAACAAAAACCGACAGGCGCCATCTTATTGGGAAGTTATAACCATTAAGAGGATACAATCGCAATTTCTTCCTGTCGTAAATAAACTTCGGCGGGCATGAGTAATCGTTACTTTGTGTGCACAATATCGAAACGGGTGGGGGCCAAATAGATTGCTACGTGCTCCGCATCCCGACCTATTCCGCCTCTTTGATGAGCTCGCGGAGTGTCAGCTGCCGCTCGCCGGCCGACTTTCGCCCTTAATCCGTCACCTTTCGACGCACATTGGCGCGCCGCGGGCGTTCCCTGGCTGCCGCTTCGTCGAATTTCGTCTCGGCCGTTCTGTATGGTGTAGTTGAATTTTCCGTTTGTAATTGTCGGCCGAGAGCGGAAGTGCTGTAGGTTGGGACACAAGTCACGCGGCGGCGGCTGACTAGTGCGCCTAACGGCACCCGGCCGCATATGGGCCGCGACGCGACCATCTCTCTGGGGACACCATTTTTCGATGCGCCAACGCATTGCTGGGGCTGGTATTCTCCCTGTGCGCACCGCCTGTCACAGTCGGCGTCCGTCTGCATAGTGAATTATGCAGGTGCCAAAAGCGTCGCGTCTTGCGAAATTTTTATAGCGCCCGTTTCGTTCACAACTAACAACTGCACCGCTTATCGTTGGTTTGTATTCGAGTGGTTGTTATTACGCATAATAACTTCGGTGGGAACCGTACGACGTTCGTTCGAGGATGTATAGTAGAAGGGAGTGTTCAAATCAAATTTACCTACGTCCTTCAAAGCCGAGCACATGGTCAGTCAACACTTGTTGTTGCAGCAATATCATAGGCATTCAGCGAACAGAAGACATTCCAAAATGAGAGCCCAGGGACTATGGCACCACAGTATCTACATTAACAGTAAAACCAAATTTGGAGACCTCATTACATTTAAAATTACCTGGGACAAATTTATAAAGTTCACTTTATAAAAGTAAAGTTTAGGAGAAATGCTAATATTTCTCGTAAAATTTACTTTTATAAAGCGATCCGTGGTAGTGATAAGTTATAATCCATCTAAATGAATTTTCCATTAGATCTGGTTGCTGTTCTTATATCTGTTACCTCTAGATATTGTGATTAACACGTTAACACAAGATAACACTGTGGAGGAGGGGCGGGAGCGAAGAGGGTTTGTTTGTTCGAGTCATTTCACGAACAGGCCCGTTGTCACTTTGCAGGACTCGACAGGCTGTCCTCAGGCTAATTGTCGGTGAGAACTTTCCGACCGGCGTTTTGCTATTTTTATACGGTGTAGGTTCGCGGGCGCTGCTTAAACATTCGTTCTGAATTATATTGTCACGGTATAAAGTGCAGCTATTTTATATGTACAGCAAACAAAAATAGGTGGAAAAGATGTGAGTTTAATAAAACTATTCATCAAATCTGATCATAGAGTATTCAGTATTATCTATGAACTGATTTGATAATTATAATAAAAGACTGGCATGTCAGCGTTATCTTATCAGTGACTTTCATGAAATTTAGTATGTGCGTAGATTCGGGGGCGAAAGATCAGGTTAGGTTTCATTTTTAGAAAATGTCGTTTTATCCCAGTTTTCGGGGAATGAAAAATATCATTCGAATGCGACGGTAAATTTCACCGAAAAAAAATGTTATAATAACTTGGTCGGTAATCGGACGGCCTCAAAACAGAAGGCCGTGGTTCGTGTCACGATCATTTACAGACTTATTTTTTTTACTTTTTTTTCGATTCCAGATCATTACTTTCTTAATTTTTATTTTTTGTAGATCCAGATGATTTTGTTATTTTTTTCGCTTTTTTTAAAGTTCTTTCTTTTGTGAAAAACACCAGTTCATATTTTATTATTATTTCGTCGGTAAGATTGAAAAATATTATGCATATTTCATTACTCAGTGTATTTAAATGTAATTTCCAAAATACATGATTTACCAAAAAAACACCACAAGCAACAAAGCCAGGTCCTCCAGGTACTATTTTTAATCGATTCAGCCAATACATTTAAAAAAAAAAAACTTTGGGTGTGCGGATAGTTTGGCTTATCGCCAAAGTTTGGCGTAACTCTCAAAATTGTTAACTTCGTTTACGCTCTGTTGTTATAACTTTAGTGACGTTGGTGTCGCCCCGAGACTTTACGTGTTTACAATAAACGAAGTGATTCAAGAAACTGTGTGATATCAAAAGTGAAGCGTACTTATGACCGACGGTCCATATCAAAACAGTGGCATGTTTTTAAAATTATTATTTTTTAATTCTCTACAAGAGTAGCTTATGTTACTATTAAAATATTACCAATATTCTAAAGGATAACCTGGTTGGTATTGGACACTTCATGTCACTAAGTTAAACAACGTCCTAATTAACCTAATAATTACTAAACGTTATTACAATATATTGAAGCCGCTGCAAGTGTACCGATGTGATGTGAATTTTAAGAAACGCTCACTCATTGAAATCGGGTTGGCAAAGCAATGGAATATTTCGTTCGGAAATATGACACGGTGCTTATTCAGTGTATTAGCCCGTTACATGTGTCCGAACAAGGTAACATTTGGCCTTATAATCGAAACGCCTGGTAAGCAGAAGTTAGCGGACTTTGCACTGAGCGGATTTCGTATATCTGTCGTGACAACATCGATACGGGGAAATCGCGTTAGTTGTGAAATCAGTGCTAATTTGCAAAGAAGTTATACGTCAGCAGTGAAATGGCTTCTATCTGTTGGAGCTTCGTAGCTTGGATTCAATATTGTTTGCAAGAAAAACTGGCTTCCCGCGTTTCTAATAATGTTTACTATATTTCGTTAACAATATTGTTTTTTTAAAATAGAGGATGAATAAGAGCAGGAATAAGACAATCGAGGATTTAACATTTATTTCTCTACGATATATAACATAAAATTTATGATATTTTTATATATTAAATTTTTTGAATTCTACTGAAACTCTGGACGCCGCGTAGCTGTCGATATGTTCCTGGACTTATGGACAAATGTCTCCCTATGCTCCATCGTATTAGAGCTTCATCTGATCCGAACAACAAGGCATTTCAAGGTGTTTCCTTTACAATACAACCAGATGGGGAGCAAGAACCCCAAACTGGTGTTCTCAACTTTGTTGAATATCACACCTGTGTTAACTGAGCTATTAATCGCATCAGACACAAAGTTTTTATGCCCCAATAGGAAGTCTCGCAGGAACGAGACTATCTAAAGTAATTGAAGCTTACTAATTGACGAGCAGCCGTAAGATAGGAGGAAAGATTGTGGTGGTTTTCTTAGTTCATAATTATTTGCTTCTAAATACCTATTGTAAACATTGTTGTTGGTATTATATTAGCTTAGTACTATATTAGTCGGTATTATAGAGCCAGTAGAGAGCTAATATAATTAGCTCTCTACTGGCGCCGTGGATAGGTGGTTCGATTTCCTTTCGGGATTTTTAGGCACTGTCTGACCATTGATAACTGTTCTAGAACAAAGGCGTGGTGAGTGTATGACAGGTAACCGGTCGTAAAAATAACCAATACCATTAACAGGATGTTGTGCCGAACCTACTTTGCAGTGGTAGGGGCAAGAGAGAGGTGTGCTTATATAATTTTGTATATGTATCGTCACTAAGATCATCTCTTTTAAAACCGGAGCCACGGGACAGCTTTTGGCGTTGCACAAATGAGCCGGCGAGGTACTGACTAAACCAAGTAAAGGACTGGAAAACATATGTGGCTAATTCAGCATGAATACTAAACTCTATGTATACTCTTATTTTTCGTGGACAGTAAAAGTTTATACATTCATTCATTCATTCATGTAGTGGGAAGTATTACACTTTTGCGTATCGTCCGGTGAGTGGGGAATCGATGCCCGCCCCTTTGAAAGTTAGTCATCTGCAACCTCTCAGGTGTTGCAGATATCCATGACCGGGGTTAAACCCTTAACATCGGCTGAAGCATCTACTCATCAGTTACCTTATCGAATATTATAATGTCGCTTCGAAAAGGAGAGGCAATTTTCTTGGAGATCAAGTCTAATTGTTCAAGAAATACGGCCCTCACAGTTACAACCACCTTAAAGGCCGAATTACGCAAAAAAAAAAAACTTTCTTTCGTGTCAGTATCATAGTCGGGTCCAATTGCGAGCTTTTCGAATAACAAACTTTGTCACTAAAAAGCAGAAACTGCGAATATATTTGCTAATTAAAATTGAACTTATCCCAGTCTGAAAGCATGTTGGTAATGATGGTCACTAACATTCGTTTGTGACCATCATCAAACTAGATGAATACCTAGTTTCATTAATAAGAAAACTCTTGGTAGAAGAAATAATTAGGGTAATAAACTTTATGCTTATGTTATATACTTTTACAGTCATGACAATTTCAATTCATTATTTTTTTTTAATTGAGGGTTAATACACATGAGGGATGTACCTAACATCATGTACACAATAGTTAAAAAGTAGTCAAAATAATATATTTGATATTCTCCGAAAGTAAATAATATGTAAAATTGAGCGTGTCTCGAACAAAATCTCTTGTTTTGGATATGATCGGGGCCACAGTTAGATACTGTGCGCTCGGTAAACGATTTCATGCCCTAAGATACGTTAGCCATTAAAGTGTGTGATAAAAGCATTCAGGATCACAACGACGCAACGGCCAATAAAAACCGTTTGATATTGTGGCCTGAGCCATTGTGCCGTGCGTCCCATTTCAAATGAAGCGCCCAACACTACATTATTATAACGCAGCTCATTGTTTTCTTCAATTTTAATTGTTTTTTCTCGGATTCATACTCTTTATACAGCGCAGACACGTAATTAAAACGGATACGTTGTGTGGGCTTCGCAGGCGAGAAACTCGGTGTTGTTGTCTCGGCCCTTGTTTGATCGACTAATAATCTTAATGACTGCCTTTCACTTGAAAAAATAGTAGGGGACGTTACGAATGGTTGCCGACATGAGTGATTAAGGTGTGAGATACATCGGATAAGCGTACCGGCCGCCCCGTGTCGCACCTGCGTAATCTCCGAGGACGCCTATTACACCGTTATTAGCGCGAAGACGCCCCGCGTTTTACAACGTATTAATTGTGCTATTTAACGCTCGTTATATGCTTTTTCAACGAGTGATTTATACACCGGCTGCGTGTGTTCGACTCCGCATAATAGATATTGATGGCTTGCAACGAATCGAATTTCCAATGATGATGTTTTTACTTAATTGATACTGTTGCACTCCCGAGGGAGCAAAAGGTTTTGCAATTTTCTACCAAATTGTTTAAATTTATAACCTCACTTTTGTTTTGATACGTACGATTCGAATTTATTTATTTAAATATTACGTAGCTCAATGCAGTTAATACCACATTATCGTAATGAAGTACAAGTGATTTACAATACAGCTTGAAGCTCGAGTTATACAGGAATATCTTAATAACGAATTTAGAATTGCCGACATTCAAACTTGAGGCGAGTGCTATTTTAAGCCACAATCGTTTTAAGTCGATTGCTCTCCGCGACCAAACTAATATGTCGGCGTTAATGATATGCCCGCTCTTTAGCCCGCCAGGCTTCTGCCCGTGCGGTGACAAAACAATAAAATCACTAAAAACCCGCGCACCTCTAAATGAGTCGCCGCCACTCGCGTTCGTTACGTCCAAATTACGTCCCCTTTCGCTCAGCCAGGCAAACGCGACGCGCAGCAAAACGGGCGTTTGATTAAAAACGTATAACTCACTCGAGCACTCGCCGTGCTCACTGCGAACGCAATGATCTATTAACCTTCTACGGGGGATACTGGGAAAGAGTGCCGCAGTCGGCACGCCCGACGTTGCATTGGTTTTGTTTTTAACGCGTTGCCGACCGACCGGTTCCGCTATCGCGTATTCATTCACGCACCTCCTTTAATTGAAATTTTAGTGATCCATCAGGGCCCGTTGTAAACCGGTGTCCGCCGGTGGAATTTCAAAAGCGATGTTCGCGGCCGTAATATTGTTTCTTGTTCTCGTTTGAATATCATGAAAATTCATGCGCCTCCGAATAAATTGACGGCTTCTATCAGCGCCATTTCTTTTTAGCATCACAGCGTGGGGCAATTCCGGAATATTTCCAAGCGGGAGTGGATTAGTCTCCAAGTTGTTTCTTGTAAATGACCGTATAGAAATATAGGTTTTATCACATGCTCCGTGTAATTCGTGATCTCTTTAGCACATAAGTTATGACGAGTCAATATTCCGTTCATTTTTGACAGCGTCTGTCATCCTTAAGCAGAAGGAATTGGAGACGTTGTCGAGGACCGCGACTAAGATCTGTGCCCAAAAATAAATAATTGCGATATAATAAAAATATAAGTTAGAAAAATAAATGATGTTGATAATATATTTCCTAGCAGAGTAGTGATTCGTGGTTGCTAAATCCATGTCAATATTCTCTGATAAAACTAGGCAAAAACATTTTCTTGTGTGACTTCTATGTTATGGTTTATTAGAAATACGCCCCAACGTAAATAAACTTGCAGTATTATTGATATTTCGTTACATTTATTCAGCTTTAATGCTAAGATAATGTAATGGTTGAAAACAGCTTTAATCGGGTGTGAATCGTTCGCTAAATTGTAAAATGTCTAACTAAAAGAAGTCCAAAACTTCAAGTAATTAACTTAACAGTTCTGTGGACAGTACTGTCACTCATCGTAGATCATCGATGCATCGTTTGAGTCATATATAGCCTGATATAGTTTTATTATTGCGTTGTAACTTTTTTTCTTATGGTAATATACTTAGATTTTTAACGTCGTCGGTGCTTCGTCTACAGTCTTATCAGTTGTTCGCAACTCGGCTGAGAGTCGCGAAACGCCAGCTCGTGATTCGTCTTCATTAGCACTAGGCATAGTGTTTACCGCGTTTTTTCCGGCTCGCTTCGGTCACTTGCAGTTTCTTTAATTACGCGCACGCAACTGCCGTAGCGAGCGCTGCCGCGGCGTTGCAAACGCAAACATGACAGCTAACAGAAAGATCGTGCTGGCCGTTATTAATTAATTCATTCATAATACACACGTAAAATAAATACGTCAATACTAAAACCGCTTCCTATCTAGGTAGAGAGAGAGAGAGAACAAATTTCCTCATTCTACAAGACTCTTTTGTGTTTTTCACGTCCATGTATAACTTCATACATGCAAGCAGGTAAGAGGATTCTTACGCCATCTCCTTCCCAACTCTGTAGTCACATTGTTTTCGTTTCAGGTCTTTCGGTTGGCGCGCGAGACCGCGATTTTCGTATAGAACGAGGCTATCCGCGGCGCCAGAAATACAGGTGTTTATCGCGGCTAGCAAAAGTTTCTCGGGGCATAATTTTACTCTACGACGTGGGAATATTTTAAAAGTAGACAAATAAAGGCTTTTATGTTAGTTTTCTCAAAAATGGTGTACGAATAAAGCTTGGTTTCATAACCATCTCTCTATTCAGTGCCATACTCCTCTCTATCGACAGTGCACGCCATCGCTTCGCACATAATTGGCGCCGCGGCAAAAAAGCGCCCCTCTCGGCGCTAGGCGTGAAGCTAATGACGGGCGTCAACAACAAAAAGCGGGAAAAACACACCGCAGTTTAGATGCTCGCATGTCTTCCAGACTTTAGCGATGATACCGTAAGCCCTAGACGGGTTTTTAGCCGCGCCTTGGCGTATTCCTTGGCGGGAAGGGGGAAACGCTGGCGGTATTCATGTGCAGTGCAGTGAACATTTTGTTAAAGATATTTTAGTGGGTTAATGACGTGTTTGAGAAGAAATATTTCATTAAAAGTCACTACGGTTCATATACAACGTCTACGATAAGCAAATGAATTTATTTAAATACTAGCTGTACCCGCGACTTTTAAATTTAATTAAAAATAATTTCCCCGAATTAAAAAATAAAAAAATATTCTGAAATAAAAGGAGTCTGAAATAAAAGTTACTCCTTATTACATCAGCTATCTGCCAGTGAAAGTCCCGTCGAAATCGGTCCAACCGTTTCAGAGCCTAGCCGGAATAAACAGACAGACAAACAGACAAAATTTGTAAAAAATGTTATTTTGGTATGTGTACAGTGTATACATCCATATGCATTTATTAAAAAGCGGTTATTTTAAGATTAAATATAGACACTTCAATTTTATTTATCTGTATAGATCAATAGATTTTAAAAATATCGGAGTATTCTGTATATTGAACATTTTAAGTCCCTTGTTGCATTGTGATAATCAAGGAATTAAAAAGTACAAAGTAAAGTAATAGCCTATATATATCCCACTTCTGGGCAAATTCCTCCTTTGTACAGAGGGTTTGAGTGTATAGTCTACCATGAGACCCAACTGCGGATTGGCGGACTTCACATTTCTTCTTAATAACGTTTTTTGTTATTATTTCAAAATTATGCAGGACTCCTCACAATTTTTCCTTCACCGATGAGCACGTAATAAGTCAGAACTTGAAATTAACAATTTCATTGATTCCAACAGCAGAGATTGAACTGAGATTGTTCCAGTCTAATTAATTAAAAGCGAACGCCCGGACAATAATCTATCACGAAGTAGAAAAAAAGTAAAGTAACAGCCTATACATGTCCCACTGCTGGGCAAAGGCCTCCTCTATACAGAGGGTATCAGGGCATAGTCCACCACGCGGCCCCACTGCGGATTGGCGGAGTTCACATATTTTTGAAATACATTTTTTTGTTACTATTCCGAAAATATGCAGGTTTCCTCACGATGTTTTCCTTCACCGCGGAGCACGTGATAATTCAGCACTTAAAGTTAAAAACTTCATTGGTGCCGGCACCGGGGATCGAACTCAGGTTGCTCGAGTATACATTGAATTAAGGCGAGCACCCGGACACTGAGCTATCACGGCTCAATTAGGAATTAAAATTCAATAATTCTTTTCAGCAGTGCTCTGCAGTAATACATCAAAAATGCATTCAATCAAATAGGCATTTAACGCATAATGTCAATTAAACAATTAGTTTCTTTGGACAGTAATGTTACTTTGTTTTATAAAGAAAATATGTCATCATAGCACAAATCGAAGATTAAAGCTATTCAGCCATATTTGAAAGCACTTTTTAAAATCTGTATAATTCAAGCCCTGTGTACTGTTTACTGTAATTAATAACTTCACACGAACATTGATATCTTTAAGTACAATATAACGCACTTTAAGGTTAAACGGTGAAACAAATATAATTGTAAAAGAAACAATGAAATGCGAAAGCAGTTAAAGTAATACGAGTGGAGTATAATCTTAATAGACTATTTTGTAAAAATAACTTAGCTTGAAGGGCAATGACACATTTGCTTGCAAAAAAATTGCCACACCGATAAGTTTCGTAATGTTGCTGATAAGCGAATACAATATCAGGTATATTGCACGCCCTAGCGAATATTTGAAGTCTATTGAGCGATCAAATAGTGAAACAGAGCTAGTTAAATAGTTACACAACCTGGAAAAATTTGCACGAACCTGAAAATGCTAAACAATGCCACCACCTTCAAAGGCTAAAAAACAATGTAGATAAAAGACGTTAAGATTTTCGTCGCTGTGGCTATCAGCCGTTTAGCTCAGTGGCTAGAGCGTCAGGCCGCGAATGCCGAAGACGTGGGTTCGATTCCCACAGCGGCGACAATCTTTTCGTACTTTTTCTACAAATTTAAATTAGCACGAACCGTTTGATTCTGATCATTTACAATTTGTATTAAGGATAAATAGGTCACATAAATTGTTTCGTATAAAAAATAAATTATAATTACTATGATATTTTTAAACCTATCAAATTTTAAATGTTTTTTGCTAATCGTAAATGAGGAACCTCCTACCGTTACCGATCGGTGTTATTGGTATCTTGTTGTTTCATTTCTGTTCCGGGGAGACATTTACATGAAAACTTTGGTAATACTTAACAAAAAAATATGTGAAAATGAAGTTTTATTAATCGTACAATAAATTACAAAGGAAATGTGGTTCAATTTATTATCATCATCTTGTATGTGATCCATACGTACATAATAAGTGAAAAACTTTAGTCATGTACATAAGTTAATTGCACAATATAGATATGAATTTATTTTGTATGTACGTGCCCTATTTATTTTTCTTGATTTGCAGATTTCGTCAGCAATGTGTGAATTTCCAAGTACAGTTGACACCGTTTATGCATAATTTATTATAGTCTGAAATTTATTGAAATGCTTACCTTTCAAATGTCCGACGCATAAGTAAGCTTAGAATAAATTTAACGTTGTGATTATTCACTGAATAATAGAAAAGTATACTGCTAATTAAAAAACTACGATCGTATTTACATATTAAAACATAAAACTGTGCATAATTTGGTAAAGAAGCGTGAAAATAATACTTTTATTTCGTTAATTTCTTAGTAATGAAAATAAATCACAAGTCGAGATAGTGTTACGAAAATTTTTTAATCGATAATGATTGCGCATTAGGCCCCGACGCCATGTTACCGACATGTTCATTTCGCCGACAAACACCGATACAGTGTCGATAATCTGATACAATATTCATATCTAATAAACTCATGTTCTGTAACCTTTACAATTTGCCGCTATCGGTTCACATAAGAGTGTTGTCTATATCAAATCTACCTACATGTGTGTGCAGGCCGATAATGTTTCCTTCGCATTTTAGAACGCCTTTATGCAACACTGAATTCATTGTTTTTTAATCATCACTTATATTTTATGCTGTTACGAGCGGATGCGTCGGACCGTGGCGAGCTTGTTGTTAGTTTGCGCCGTCCATAAACCGCCGCTCTTCTGCCGTACGTTTAAAGACCGTGATGGACTGCCCTATCCCGGCCGGGCTGTGTTTTTGTTCCTTTTGCGGACTTCCACGTCCGATACGTCGATATTGCTGGCGTCACGGATTTATTCACGAAACGGCTACCGCTTTAGTGACTCGCTAAAAAATTAATTATGCCAAGCTCTAAACTCCGCAAAGCTGTCAGCGATCGGCAGTCGCCCGTGCGGAGCGTTAATATTAAATAAAGCGGACATCCATCCGATTTTGCAAACGGTTTTGTACCCGCGCTATAATTCATACGGCCCTGTCGTTAGCTGCATCTCAGCGGCGGAGTGTCGAATGTCTGCAACTATCAGCAAATTGTACATCTGTCAGTTTCGTTCACTTGTAATTCTATGCTAATACGATTCTGGCGACAGCGAACCGGTAAGAGAGGAACGAACACCGTACGTACGTTTCTTGGTTTCGGTTTGTAGCCTTTTTTCGGCAGATACCGTTTTGCACCCAATGTTTTATACATACTCGTCGAAGTAGCGAATGTTGAGAACGATCACTGCGGGATGATTACAAAAAACTTACCCATTGAAAGGGTATCCTGCGAACGCCGCGTCGTAGGGATGGTAGACTGTCGGATAGGGCCAGCTGGCTGCACTCGCCGCCAAATTCTCCTTCAGCTCGATTCCAGCGGCCTGTTGAAGTAATTATCAATGAGTATCCAATTTTAAATAAACAATAATTTTGATAAGTGTCATATGTACAGTAAACGCTACCTACACAAACGTTGCCGTCGTCTATTAATCAGACTTTACAAGGTTAATTGTTAGTTGACACAAACATGATTCGAATGTTAACAAACTCGGGGCCTAACATTCTGAATTTCTCAACGCTACAAACCCTTTTCAATTTGACGTTCACTTGTCAGCGAATAAAACAATAATCTCAGTGAATTGGCCTATTAAATCTGCTTTCAAATTTCCAGTAGCTTTAAAATAATCCGTTATGAGAGCGCTCTAGTCGGATTGATTTTTGATCGATCGCTCCGATCCTTTCGTCTTAACTATTATTATTTAATGGCTATAGATAGCTGACTCATGCATCAATCATCTTTCTGAGGACAAATGCCTGCGTTTTTTACTTTCTTGTTATTGATACGTCTCGACATAATTATATTAATGCGGACGGGTAGAGGGCTTTAAACGACCGCGGTATATATATAAATCTACTGGTGTCGGTGCCGGTATATCGGTGTATATAAATTGTACATTCTGATATTATGTCCGTTAGATATTTTATAAAAATGTCGAAATTAATAAGCACTGTGATATACATCTAATCTAGCTGTCGTCGTTCTTTGTTCTACATAGGAAATTGTTTAGATACTGATCGGCCGAAGCCGAAGCAGCAACAGTAGGTAAGGTTTCAATTGTTTTATTTACTGATGTATTTGATAATGGCGGCGAATGCATAGTCGTGTATTAAGCTATTATTATTTTTGCTAATATTAACAGGTAAAATTGCACAGAGTCTGACAACTGTGCGGGCACAAAAAATTATGGCAGCGCATTAAAATAACTCGGGGTGGGGGGCGACTATCAAAGCGGTCAGCCAGGATAAATCTATCAAAAGATTTTGTTGTCCAACAACTTCATTGGTGGCCGAATCGAGAATCCGATAATAAATTTTACTCAAGTACGACAGCGTAATCCAGTCGCGCTGTCGCTCTTTGTTACCGCGACCTTTCTGATATAATTCCAGTTTTCTGTTACTTCAAACGATCGTACTGGGCTAAGCTGTGACGCGAATCTGTTATTCGGATTTATTGTCGGCCCGAAGCGATATTTGGCCGGTTGCGGCCACGATATGCAATTCGAAATTGCAAGTTTATCGCAAATGTTTTACGAAAAATTGTAATTTTGCAGTTCGCTCTTCTCCGATTGTTATTCGGAAAATTATCTTGTTTGTTTTCCGATTTAAACCACTACCACAAACGGCCACGAACATGTGTAATGCATAGACCCTTCGGGTTATTGACACAAATCACGTTTTGACAGTTGCATACGCGTGAAAAACAACCGAAAAACTTGCTTCTTATTATTATAGATAATCGTATCCACAACGCTAGATCAATCAATGGATTGAGGACATAACTCTATTTGTATTAATTGTATCCCAAACTAAGTTCAACTTCACCGGTGGAACACGAGATTAATCTACCGAGCGTTACTTTGTTGAATACTTCACCAACATAGTCCTCGTCTATCTGAACGGTCCAGATTAATGTAAATAAATAAGTATTAAATGTAGCAAACAGCTCGCAAACAACGATAAGTTGTTGATGCGAGAACATGCACTCAATGATTTAAATGCAACCGTTTCATATAAATACAATATATATAATATAGGCGATAATAAACAAGTGCAGCCGTGTGAACACTGCGAGGTACGGACTAAGAAATGTGAAAAACAAAAGCTCTAAATCAAACGAATGGCCGCCGCGGATTTGTAAAAGAATCATCAGTTAACTTCATGAATTTGTCAAAACGTCGCGGCATCATAACGCATAGTTAATATACGACCACCTCTTACCACAAATCTATTAAGAGCCGTTACACAGTGGTGGAGATTTATTTTCGGGCCGCTTCATTAGAACTATAAATTATAATTTTTTCAATACGCCTAGCACCGCTTCCTGTGATGCCGGTGCCACATGTGCAAATGGGCCGACGGATTGGTATCGGGCCGGCTAATAAGGAGCGCCTGCTTGGTAAGCTACAATTGTACAATTGGCATTTGTCGGACACGAAGCAAGCTAATAAAACGTAAAGAAAAAGAAACGTAAAATTTCAAATTTCGAACGTCGTCGGGCATAAAAACAAACACGTCTTGTGAGCCCGAGTCGGAAATGAATTGTGGGCTAAATAAAGAGGCGGGGAATGGAAAAAAGAGAAACAGGATCCCATTGAAGGATCGGTCGGTTTAACACTTTCGCCACCGATGATATACGATCATATCTACATGAATGATTGAATCATCCGCCGGGACACGTTCACGTCCCCACCTTTTAACACCTTCCTCCAAAGTTTTACTACACGTCATATATTACGTGCCGTGGCTACTTTTATGTTGTTACGATCATTATCATTCAAAGTCACCCACACGCGGTCAGCGGTGAGCTTGACTCTAACACCGCTCTCTGTTTTATTACCACGCGTTTGAATTCATACAATACTTCACATGTGAGTGAGTGTGTTATTTCTGTATAACACTACCATATTCACTTATGAACCAGTTGTATGTATTATATGTGTTAGCGATCACAACAAAACTGAGACTCGTAAATAAAAAAAAAAATTAAAAACTCCGTTTCGTAGATTGTTCAACGCAAGCAATATAAAAATGTTAATCTCTAAGAAAGAAATTGTTAAACGTATTAAGTTATTAAGCCGGAGCGAGGTAGGATACAGCCTTTTTTTCGGTATGAAATACAGAGGAACATACGTCATCGGATTACGATTCTAATTTATATGTATTCTTTGTGTCGTAAAGCTTATTGTTGCGTCTACTTAACGCTGTGAATGATTCTTATAGCTGCCTCTGTAACGTACTATTTTGACATCGGATCCTAATTATTTTAAGGTAATACTTTTTATGGTGGCCGAGTGAGGAAAAAATAAACATTAAGCTGGCCCCACGGTAGAGTGATAATCCGTTCCATTTAGACGCTGTCTCGCCCAGTGCCGTGGTGTGGCATTAACTATAATAGATCTAATTATACCCTCTCGTTGTGGGTAATCAAGACGTTATGAGTGTTATTCAATACGTCTGTGTCGATTAATAAAGTAAGATTACCATTCACTATAACTACTACTACTTATTATTCGTTTCGATACTCAACATTTAGTGTCCGTGTTTGTAGGGCTTGTCTCTAAATGGATTATATGCTACTTTAACTGAGAATAAGATAGTTAAAAAAATTCAAATATATTCATACACAAAATTTATTCATTACGCATAAGGTTTTCCTTCTGTACCTACTGATTTTACATTATTACAATATGTATACGATGTTGGGTTGACGGGTTGGTTTCACAATAAAGTATCAGGACATCATACTTACAGCATTCGTGTAGAAAGGTGGCTGGTCAGCGGCGAGGGCCGGGAAGTAGGCGGCCATGCCGGCGGCCGTGGCAGCTGCGGCGTCGGAGTATGGAGCGCTATACATCGACAGGGGGACGCCTGATGCCAAACGCTGGTAGTTGAGGAACTCGTACTGGCATGAGCAGACTGTTTGTCCTGTGATAGGGTCTTGGAAAATAGGTCGGCCGGTATCGCAACAGCGAGGCGCGGGGGCGGGCGGTGAGGAGGGGCGCGCCGCGCCGCTGGTGCCCCCCGCGCCCCCGCTCATACCCGCCTGCGCCGGCGGCGGACTGTTGGAGGCTGTCGATATGGTGCTCTGTAAGTTGTAAATTTTGAAATGCCTTTATGGCGCGTTTAACCATTCGCAGTTGCAGACAATCGTGGTATTAGGAGGCCTCCGTGCGCACAGCAAAATAATCGCAAGGCAGATGAGTGGTACGCTCGTGTGGACGGCCGAGGCCGAGGCGGTTCGCGTTGCGAAGCGACGGGCGACAAACGAGCGTTTAACTAGACAGGGGGAGCGCGATGGGCGTAGCTGCCGGCTCGTCAGCACTGATTACCCGTACGCAAATCGGTCACGCACGGGAAACCCTTTTCTTGCATTGTGCGAAGGAATTAGTTTGTGCACCGTTGCAGCTCTAATGCGCAGCGACTTGGGAATATCGTATCCGACGACAATGGGGTTCGAGGCCGGAGCATTGTTGTTATAATAGATTTATTCGCCGGACTACCTGAATCTGTGTCGCGGTCGCAAAATAAACATCCGTCTGGTATCAGAACACAAAGAGGGCGACGGGCCCGGGGCACGTATGTCCTTCTTAATTGAGCCCGGCAAGAATTCATACGTATATAAATAACTTTCTAAATATTTGTCATTGGAATGAAAAATGGTCTCCGTCCGTTTGACAATCGTTGTGCTCTCAATAGGATTAGAAACCGAGAAATGCCACCCGACCGCTTATGATACTCTGACAGGCGGTTAAAAGAACGTATGAATTGGGACTTTTGTGCACCTTCCATGTTATTATAGGATATATCCGGAGACTATACGTTATATTCGATAATGCCCCTTTGAAACTTCGATAATCTTTAATGACACATAAGACGTTCCGAACGCTTGTACGAAGCTGCGTCCTCCCTGACACGGTGTTGACTATTTATAAACGGAATGGAGCGCGGTAGGTAAGTTTAGCGGTCAGCCGCCGACTAAGTTCTAGCTGTGACCCGCCCGCTCGAGATAGGGCTTCGCTGTCAGCCTTAACCAGCCGGTGACACGCCACTCGCCGCTACTCGGAAACTTGGATCTATTCGCGACGCGACGCTCTACACACGACCGGTTACATTTATTGCGCCCCGGGAATTATGGAGGTAATCCCGAAGCCGTTAAATGTCGAATCCCTGCATTACCTACATTACATACCCAGCATAGTTATTTAATCCTTACTCGCACCCCGTATACCGCGAGTGCCGCTTACGCGTTGATGGGCTTTTTAATTGTCGCCCGTTCGACCTAACGGCGCTGGTAATAGGGACCATATCGATCAGGTGGAGGGACGTGAAACTCACGCCGGTGCTTAAAGGGGAACCCAATCCGTTCAAACGATACATGCGCCGGCCCGAATGTACATCATTTCTGTAAAAAACACCGTTTATTTATCAACCTGGCCGGCCATTGATCGAACTGCCCGCGGCGCTTTCATGTTTGGACGACAAATAGTTAGATAGTGATGCTTAAATCAAAATTTGTAACGCAGCAAAACATGTTACCATTATACGACGGTGCCAGAGTAGAGATATACGTCAAATAATATTAACGAAGTGGCGAAAGAATGTAAGTTCATTAGAAATTTCTTTTCTTTTTTGGTAATAAAACAAGATATATAAAATAAATAAATAGCATAAAAGCATAATATACAGTGAGGCTCAAGTGGCGCGCACCCGAGTCGGAGTATAATAGTAATTCTACAGAGCATAACGCCTTTTGAGTTGTAACAACGGTACTATCTAACACTTTTACCATAAAACATATCTTAAACTATTTATTTTTAAAACTACCAATGGCTATTTACGATGATAAACGGAATACACGGGCACATAGCAACATTCAACCGCGCGAGAAGATGCTCAGCTCTCATTGCCTATTTAATACCCGCTGCGAAATACTGTTCCAACTTTAATGTAAATTGGTGTTTCGTGTTCGGTACGATACAGACGTTTATTACTAAGCGACATTCAGTGCATAATATAGACATTTACACGGCGCAGAATGAATTTAAACTAGTCAGTGAAACTGCCGAGTTCCGCGTAATCATTATGGAGTAAAGTTTGCAGGCCCCGAGCATGGTCGGGATTCTAGCGATTCTTCTGCGACTGTCATATTTACTGCGCAATTAGTTATTCAATTAGCTGGCTTTAACGCGTCTTTTTTACAAGTCATTACTATAGATGATTAATAAAAAAATACGGAATGAAAATAGCATACGTCTGCCAGCGTATTAATTTGATAGTTATCTGGACTTTAGCGTACGACCTGCGAATCGAATGCGTATAAAATGAGGAAAGAAAACATACCTTACAGTTAAATAGTCCATAAAATATATCTTCAACGATAACCTATAATGTTCCAATCTACCAAAAAAATGTTTCGCATGCGATGTATAGAATAGCTGAGATTCGGCGAGAACAAAAAACCGACGCCGTTAATTTCAATAAAGCCATGTTTGTGATAAAAATAACACATTCTGTCTAAATAATAAAAAGCTTTTACTCTGTATCCGCTTATGTCACAAACATTTGACACGTATAGTGACAGATGTTTGTTGCCGCTTAATAGGAGCGAAGTTTTATGGCTGTGACAACATTTGAACCAAATACGAGTTTTTAGCTGACGACGCTTTGGTAGGTTTTTATTGGTCACGTTATCTGTAACAGTTTGCATTAAACATATGATAGGCAATATTATAATTTACCCGCCGTTAACACAAGATTCTCTAACGACAAATTAAAACAACTAATTATACTTGTATTATACAAGTAAAATGTGCGTAATAAACACTGGCCTAATTAACTTATAGACGTTGATTTTTTACCTAATCTAACTTTAACGATTGAAAAACATTAACATTTTTAGAATTTTCGTCTAACCGAGGGAATATGACCCACCACACCAGAACCACAAATATTATATATATTTATGCTTAGCTTTAAAACATCATGCGGAGTGGAGCTAGCACTAGTACTCGCATTGGGATTTGCGTATATCATAAATTTCTATCTTGAAACAGTTGTATGTGAAATTTTCATATCAACCAGAATACGAGGTAAGTTTAATTGGTGAATTTAATATTTATTGGTCGTAGTACCTTTACTTCCAAGTTAATTTTTTCGTGATATTTTCCTTCGACCGATCTACGCCCCTGTCGACACATATTATGACTAACTTATTAATTGGCGCACTCAGTGATAATTTCGAGCGACAATTCCTATCGAAAATTAGCCTCTTCAGTTCAACCATCGCTTTGACTTAACCGCCCCTCGAGTGCTTTCGCGATAAAGGCATGAATACGCAACAATCTACAATGGGAACGAGAAGGGTCCAAGGGGAAATCGCAAAAGCAACAGACAACAGGCAAAACAGAAGGAAGTTATTAAAATTAAAATATGTAGAAAAAGTTAGAAGAAGGAAGAATCCGAAGGAAGTTAAACGGTGAAGAATCCGAAAGGGACACGTAACTAACCTATTACAACTGGATCGAAAATGTAAACAAGCCGCGTTATATGATTGACACGTCATTAAATATCTAAAACTGGAATAGATTATTCAATGCGCGACGAGTTTATCGCTTAGTACATACGTTACATTTGTAGCAAAACGGTTCCGATAACAGCAGCGTTAGTTGGTGCGTGTGTCGCGCATTTATCAATGCAACTTCGGGCGCGAGCGAGCTTCGTCGTGTATTGGTTACGCACTTACGTATTTATGCTTATTAGATAAAACGAAGCGAAACGAGGGGAAAAAAGGTGGACAACTCGTCGTCATATCCTTTTCAAATATCGGACGGCTCAGGATTAAAGTGCCGCTGCACCTTATCTCGTGCAGACATCTTTTAAAAAACAAACACGAGGAGTATTCTCTTTTTGTCGCTCCTTTTTTTTCTCTCTCTCTCTCTCTTTTTTCCACGGCCGTAACCCGCAGGATGTGTTAGCATCGTTAAGCCCTTTTAAGTGTTAAACCATGTAACTGAATATTCGAGCGCGCAAGGGCCCCGCTCTATTTGTCGGGTGACGTAAAAAAGTTAATCTTAGAGAAATCCAACCGGCCCAGTGACATGAGTTTCGTTAAAGACACATCGCGTCGCGTCGCATCGGCCGGGCAAAAAATGTCGACGACACGAGGCCGGTCCGGGCTAACCGTGGGTGACGCGGCCGCGGGCAGGTACCGCGGGGGTTTTTTTTATCGGCCCCGGGCCTTTAGCGGGCATCATTAAAGTATTAAATTTACGATAAGGCTAACCCTACACCGAAATAATTCGGCATTTCTCGCTAATGCGGATGCGATGATAAGCGGACGCGACATCCGAGGCCGTCGGTGGCAGCCGCTTCCTCGCAATCTCGGCGAGCTGTTAGCGGATTCCTAGTGCTGCCTAAGCCCACATTCGACGTGCCGTACACTCGCTCGCAGACCGGCTACACAGTAATTGCTATTAGCGACTAGGCCGCAAGTGGACTCGAGATGTGTACCTGCTCACGAAATATCTGGCGCTTTTGTCTAGTTCGTATGGTAGGCATTGATTGGAACTGATTCGGAGATAGTCCAACACCTCTGCGCATTCCCCGCCGCGTTTCCAACTCAAAGTATGCGAATAGCGTCCATCGGTCGCGTTTCCTTCGACGGCCCGACATCGGCTTAATTGCGCCGATTAAGATCAATAATAAAATAATTTGTTTAACAGTCGACGGTGGCGACGAGCTCCGGCTAGATCCGAGATACGAGGTGATTCATGCGTCCGCGCTGATTTATTTATTAGAATATTCAGAAGAAGAAGAAAAAAAAACCAGTTAGGTACTATTCCCGTTCCGAATCCGTTGCAAACATTGCTCTCCTGTATCGTATAGTTTGATTTTTACAAAGCGTTGTTTAAATTATTAACTGTTATTGTCGGACGATAGTTCAAAATACCGAGGAATGATTGTGCAAATTATTCCGATAATATCTTCACAAAGAAAGAAGAAATATGTAAATTTCTCAATAAGGCGATTATTTTGCGGCTTGTTTTTTGTGTATTATTTTCAAATGTCCCCGAGTGACATTTAATAGCGCGGCCATTGTATAGGGGATGTCTCGAAACACAAATACGTTCAGAAAAACGTGAAAAGTGTCATATATCAGAAGACCGTGTTGCGATTAATCGATATCTTCCTTGTGCGTGTATCGTAAAAGGATCAGGATGTTGTACTGCGACTTGGTGTACTGCAAGGCTCACCCGTATGTGCATCGGACAAGCGAGGCGACTACATTGTTAAATGTGGTGTGCTAATGCTGCCCAGTGTTTGTCCATAGTGAGCTGTATTGTCGTCACCGAGGCTTTACGATAACGTCTGTAGAGGATTAGTGAAGCTTGGTAGGACGGTGTCCACTAACTCTCCTCGTCATAAACGTTTAGCGATGATGATAGGTTACCGCGTATTATCTTATCCTTTAAACGAGCAATTCTTGTATATATATATATATATATATATATATATATAATCGGAATCTCGGAAACGGCTCCAGCGATTTTCATGAAATTTAGTATGTGCGTAGGTTCGGGGGCGAAAAATCGATCTAGCTAGGTTTCATTTTTAGAAAATGTCCTTTTATCCCTGTTTTCAGGGAATGAAAAATATCATTCGAAGATGACGGTAAATTTCGCCGCAAGAGAAAATGTCATAATAGCTCGGTCGGTAATCGGGCGGCCCCAAAACAGACGGCCGTGGTTCGTGTCACGATCATTTACACACTCTTTTTTCGATTCCAGATCATTGCTTTCTTTATTTTTAATTTTTTTGTCGATTTGTTATTTTGTTACTTTTCCCTTTTTTTTAAGTTGTTTCTTTTGTGAAAAACACCACTTCATATTTTCTTATTATTACGTCGGAAAGATCGAAAAATATTACGCATATTTCATTACTCAGTAATTTGTATCTAAATGTAATTTCCAAAACACACGATTTACCAAAAAAAAAAAACAAACCGAGCTAAGCTCGGTCCTCCGGGTACTAAATAGTGTAATTGTTATAACCAGTATGACGTCTTGCAATTCCGTTACCCGTCACCTCTGAGAATTGCACTTTTGGAACTAACATCTTTAGTTACAGGAATGCGAACCCGCTCAAATAAAAGAAAATCTTTCATCAAAATAACAGTGGCGATATATTCATAAGGAAAGGCTTTTTCAACGCTTCATACGTTAATATTCACTCGAAAAACAGATAATAAATATCTATTGTGTCGTGTTATTGTGATTGCATACGAGACGCGAATGCTGCGATCTTTAACGAACCCGAATGAATAACTCTCACGATAAAAACCAATTGATCAACAAATTGAAACGTCTAATCAAACTAAT